TTGCCCCACAGGGGTTAACTCCTGTATACTTCTGGGTAGTGTAGTGAGTAAGTATGTGCACCGCGCTTACTTTCTGGTTGGATCTGCCTAAAGCTAGTTACAGCCTGCAAGGAATTGGTCCTCCCTAGCTGGAGTAAGAGATTGGGTCAAGAGATTTTTGAAGTGGTGCACAATAGGTGTCTTTAATCATGTGCATGGTGAAAAATCCAAAAGGTACAGAAAAATGTAGAATGAGAAGTGTGTCACCTCCTCTTGTATTCTAGCTCAGGGGTCAGCAAACTGTAGTTTACCACTGACTGGGGTCAGCAAACTGTAGTTTACCACTGACTGCCTGTTTTTGTAAATAAAGTTTTGTTGGAATAGAGCCAGGCCATTCGTTTAAGTGTTACCTATGGCTGATCTCAGGGTGTAGCCTCAGAGTTGGGTAATTACCAAAGAAACTTTACGGTCCCTGAGGTTAAATATTTGGCTCTTCAAGTAAAAGTTTGCCAACACCTGTTCTAGTCATCCTGGTTCCTTCCCTGGCCACTGTTACTGTGTCCTGAGATTTCCGGTTCATTAGCAACTGTGTATATACTTCATATACCTCCCTAACTCACCACCCCATAACATACATACAGTAACTATGTACATAAGATGTACTTTTTTCAACTTAAAAATGTCTTAGTGATTTTTTTATTAGTGTATATAAAACGTTCTTATTTTTAGCCCCGTAATATTCCAGTATATGGAGCTACCATTTATTTAACCAGTTCCTTATGGATGGACATATAGTTATTTATGTCTCTTAATTATTACAAATGATAACATTACATTTATACACATTTCTAGGACAAAACGGTTAACTCCCTGAGTGTTCCTACCTCAAACTTTGTTCCAGTCATGTACTTGCTATGACTCATTGCCCACAGTATGCCTGCAGTTTGAGGGAAGTGGGATCCTTAAGGGGCTGGAGTTGTTGAGGTACAGCTTGCTCAAGAGGCTCTACATAAGTTGGGGCTTGAGGAATGTGGATGAATAGGGGCATAATGATAGGAAGGTAGGAAGGGAAGCAGGACTGCGTGACTGAAGGCTTGTGTTACCCCAAACTTGAAGTGTTCTTGAGCCACACTGCCCAGTACTACAGCCATGAGCCATGTGGCAGTTTTTAAGCACTTGAAAAGATGTGGCAGGTCCAAACTGAGATGTGCAAGAGATGTGTGCAGTGAGTAGATACACACCGGTGTTTGAAGATTTGGTAAGAACAAAAAAAGAGGGTTAAATACTGATATCTCATTAGTCATTTGAAAAATATTCCTAGAGTAGTGTTTTGGATATATTGGGTTAAATTAAATAATATTAAAAGTAATTTTATCTGTTTTTACTTTTTAATATCTGGCTACTAGAAATTTTATTTTATTTTACTGTTTCGGGCTGCACTGCGCAGCTTGCAGGATCCCAGTTCCCCAACCAGGATCGAACCCGTGCCCCTTGGAGTGGAAGCATGGAGTCCTAACTCCACTGGACCGCTAGGGAATTCCCTAGAAATTTTATTTTATTTTTAATTTTTTTTAAAATTAATTAATTTATTTTGGGCTGTGTTGGGTCTTCGTTGCTGCGCGCAGGCTTTCTCTAGTTGCGCTGAGCGGGGGCTACTCTTCGTTGTGAGGGCTTCTCATTGTGGTGGCTTCTCTTGTTCCAGAGCACGGGCTCTAGGCACGTGGGCTTCAATAGTTGTGGCTCGCGGGCTCAGTAGTTGTGGCTCGCGGGCTCTAGAGCACAGGCTCAGTAGTTGTGGTGCCAGGGCTTAGCTGTTCTGCAGCATGTGGGATCTTCCCGGACCAGGGATCGAACCCATGTCCCCTGCATTGGCATGCGGATTCTTAACCACTGTGCCACCAGGGAAGCCCCCCTTAGAAATTTTAAAAATTCATTATGTGGCTTGCATTATTTTCTGTTGGACAGTGCTGCTCTGGCTCATCCTTCATTAGGGAGATTCACCAAGGTTCACTTTGGGAATTGGTATGTGATTAGATGGGACATGTTGGACAGTTACCAGAATTAAGTATTTGCATTTTATGTTCTAGGCGTAAGAAGGTCATGATGAAATTAGTTTTAGGAAGATTCAACTGGTCACGTTGTGGTGTGCTATAATAACTGACTGTAACTGAGTGCTTACTGTATATTAGGCACCATCCTAGGGGCTTTATGTGTAGTAATTCATTTAATCCTCACAACAACCTTGTAAGGTATAGGTACCCCTCATCTTAGAGATGTAACTTGAGTCACAGGGAGGTAAACTTACTGGCGCAGGGTCATACAGTAACCAGTAATACCTTGGCTATGAACCCTGGAAGTCTGATTCCAGAGCCCACCTATTAAACCAGTACATTCTGTCACTCTGAAGGTGAATTAGAAAAAGGAGATGATCCTTGTACACAGTAATCACTTGGGCAATTGATCGACAACAAATGAATGAATGGTAATTGATCATTTTCTGCCCCTATTTATTAACACTTCAAGTTTTTTAAATCTTCTATCTTCATAATACCCTGGTACTTTTGTTTTAAATTCTTATCACACCATGGTTGGTGGCTGTTTAACACTGATTTTGGCTATCCAGGACGAGCTCAATATATAACAAAAACTGTAAGTTAATTTTTCTTGTGCTTTGTATATAGAAAGGTTTTAAGAATATGTAGTTTTGTTTTGCTTTGTGCTTGCAAGGCAAGTTTTATTCTCATCATTTCACAGAGGAACAGAGAGGCTAAGTAATGTGGCCACGGTTTTATAGCTGCGAATTATAAAACAATGAGAATTTGTGGTTTTGATCATTATTGTTTGTTTTTAAAAGTAAACATTTTCTGTTTGAGCTTGCAGCTAATTGGTTGTAAATAAATGTTTTAGGAATATTTATTCCTAAAAAATTTTCTTGGATTTCAGGTCCTAAATATTTTGCAATGAAACTTTTTCATTCAAAAGGTATTTCCAAGAGGAAAATGTTGCATTAGTGAAAGCTAAATGAAAATGCTTATATTTTTTATGATGCTTAATGCTCATAGGGTATTGGAAGAGACAAGAAGATCAGCATAGTTGGAATTAAAATGATAATGGAGAGAAAGCTAAAATCCCTTAAAATGGTACTTGCTTAATCAAGAGCTAGCTTCTGAGGCTGCCCTTTTGATTTAGCCCTCACACCAAGTATTTTCTAAATTGTTAAATTTCCCCAATTTTTAGCTCAGAGGTCTAGTCTGAGTAATGCTTAAAGTTTTCTGATCTTTACCGTGGAATTTGGGAGTCAAGTTTATGTCATGTGTTAAGGAATGACATGCACACTTAAAACTTTAGGATTTTATTCTTATCTCTGACTGGAGCCTTTGTGAATAAAAGTACTTTTTATACTCTGTCCAAAGTCACATACATTCTTGGGTTTCTTTTTCTTTTTTACCCCTCAGGTTTCTAGAGACTCATAGGCTTTAAAAATTAATTAAAGATAGGCAATTAAGATTGGAAGAGACCTTTAGAAGTGATTCCTTTAGTCCAGGGTCTTTCCCCCTAGGAACTAGTGATATTTTGGATTAGATAATGTTTTGTTGTGAGGAGCTGTCCTACGCATTATGTCCTGTCCGTAGCAGCAGTTCTCGCCTCCACCCACTAGATGCCATTAGTTTCCCTTCAGCTGTGACAAAAAAATGTCTCCGGACTTTGCCAAAAGTCCCCTGGGAGACAAAATCGCCCTGGTTGAGAACCTCTGATGAGCACACTTTCTGTAGGTGGTGCTTCTCTTCTCTGGAACTCTCAGGTTGAGGGGGGAATTTGCTACACTCTCTAGAAGTCCATTTCAGTCTCTGGGGGCTCCTGTGGAGTAGAAATCTTTTGTGTGTGTTAAGCTACAACCTGCCATGCCACCTATAACTTTTTAGTTCTATCTCTTGGGACCATATAGACTTTCATCAGACTTTCTCAGTTATTGGAACATAGGCACCCAGTCCTTCCTGGTCCCTTATGTGATTGTTTTAGAGACTGAGTTGGCAAACTTTCTTTTGTCTTGGGCCAGATTATAAATACTTTAGGTTTGGGCCACGTGTTTGCAGGCTACTTAAGGTCTCTGTTGCATAATTTTCTTTTCCTACTTCCCTCTATCCCTTTCCCTCCCTCCCTCCCTCTTTCTCTTTTTCTTTTTTCTTGCAAACCGTTAAAAAACGTAAAAATCATTCTCAGCTGGATTTACTCTTAGCTGTTGCTTGCCAGTCCCTGGCTTTAGAGTCTCTTTTGTCTGCAGTAATCTTCAGAGGGCAGTGCCTTCTTAAAATGTGGTGCCTCAGAGCCAGTACAGAACTTTGGGTGAGGGCTATGCAGCACAGAAGGTGGGCTTGTCACTAACTCTTTAAAGTGCTTAAAGTGCTTGCTGCCTTTTTGGAGCTTTGTCACATTTTCAACTCGGAATGACCTTAACACCAGCTGAGACTCTGGCTTATCTTTTTTATTAGGCCACATTTCAGCCTAGGATATTTTTAGTGTAGGACCAACCATATATCCAGCTATATTAGATCTCATCTTAGCTAGAGGCAACTCTTCTTCTAGCCTGTTGAGAGCTTTCCGGATCCTACTTTGTTCTCGTAAGTGTTCATGAAATTTCTCTCAGCTTCCTGTTAAATGTTTGATAAGCATACCTTGGGTCTTACACACAAGTTATGAATAAAAATTTGAATGAGACATAGCTAAGAACTAAATCTCAACTCACACTTAGAAAACAAGGTAATTTTGATGTGTGGATATAGCTGGTCTCTACTTTTTTTTTTTTAAATTGTTTTGTAGACTTGTACTTGGATTTCCATTGTAGCAGGCATCCATCAGAGGCTTCTGTCATTGCTAATGGCTTTCAAAGTGATTAGACAGTAAATAAGTCTAATGACCATGACAGAAAAACAATCTTAATTCACATACAAAATAAAATAATTTAAAATAATGACTTTTTTCAAAAAAGTAGCTGATAAATATGTATTTTTTTTTAATTTCAGAAAGGATTTACACCAGCTGCTCCAGTTCATACCAATAAAGAAGATCCAGCTACCCAAACTAATCTGGGATTTATCCATGCATTTGTGGCTGCCATATCAGTTATCATTGTATCTGAACTGGGTGATAAGACATTTTTTATAGCAGCCATCATGGCAATGCGCTATAATCGTTTGACAGTGTTGGCTGGTGCTATGCTTGCCTTGGGCCTAATGACGTGCTTATCAGGTGAGTGCTTTTTCCTCCTAATGAGTTTATTGAATTAAAGAGAAAGCATGGTGGTATTAAGTCACTGAATCATTCAACTAGTTATATTGGAATTTGGTTCATGTTTCAGAACTTAGTAAGCAGAAAATGTTTACAGTACATAAATTCCTAAAAACGATATTGCACTTCTGAAATTAAATTTTTTTTTTTTTTCCCACGGTACATGGGCCTCTCACTGCTGTGGCCTCTCCCGTCGCGGAGCACAGGCTCTGGACGCGCAGGCTCAGCGGCCATGGCTCATGGGCCCAGCTGCTCTGCAGCATGGGCGATCATCCTGGACCAGGGCACGAACCTGTGTCCCCTGCATCGGCAGGCGGACTCTCAACCACTGTGCCACCAGGGAAGCCCTGAAATTAAATTTTTAGCTATTCACAGTCAAGATACATGCTCCTCATTTATTCACTAGTTTTTTGATCCTTGCTTTTGCTATGGCTACCCTTGCTTTTTTTTCTTTTTCCTTTTTAAGTCCAGAGAAATTTATATCTGATATCTTAGAAACAGGAAGCAAGCAACCACAGAGAATTGTGTATTTTCTTTTGAAGGGCATTTGGTAATCAGTAGTGAGGGGTAATGTTCACAGTATTGTGTTCTGTTAAGCTATTCTTAACCTCTTACCCCAACAGTAGGGAATGAAACATTCTTAGATTCCCGGTTTATATTACTATTTGAGTTACTATTATATAGGCTTCAATTTTTCAAAGAATTAAGACCAGGAGAAAGTAAACTTAACACTACATAATTAAACATAGTTTAGTCTCTGATTCAAAAGCTACCTTGAGCCATGTAGTTGGATGGAAAATAGCGAGTTTTCCCCTTAGAGCCAGACTTGGATTGGAGTCTCATTCTGCTGTGTATTAACTTAATGGTAAGTTACTTAACCACTTTGAGTTTCAGTTCCCCATCTGTAAACTGGAGATAGTATCTAGCTGCCTCACAGGGTTGCAGTTTGTATTAAAATGAGATCTTATATTTCAGGTGCTCAGTCATTCACTCCTCTCTTTCAGCATGCCTTAGATTTCTCCTGAAACACAGTTCTTAAAGTACAGGACAGGTTCTATTTCTGGATGCTTGTTAAAGTTTGTCTTTTTAAACCTACTATAATGAGTATTTTATTGAATAAAAAAATTGACTACTTTTCACATTTGGATATTAGCATTATTCATATTTCACACACAGAAATTTTCTCTTCAAAAGCAAATTTTGATTCTAGGAAATAGTGGAGCAGGTTGTAAATGGTGAAGTCACTTGTTTGGAATGAGTTTGAATAATATCAGAGAATTTTAGTTTTGAAACTTCCAGCTTTGAGGATAAAGTAGAAGGCTGTCCTGTCTCCACCCATTCCCTCCTCAGAACCTGGCTCCATGCGTTCCCCCCAATTCTTCTATGGGTTTAGCTCCCTTCCCTCAGTGGTGAGTGGGGCTGGTCTCTTTCATCCTGACCCTTGGCCCACCTCCCTTTGGCTGCTGGTACTGACAGCTCCTCTCACCTGGACTATTTGAAGGAATGGGCTGTATCAGTGGTCTTCAAACCTCTTCCTTGTATATCTCTAAAATAATTTTGAAAAGCTATACCCCCTCTCACTTCTCATCGTTAAGTTCAAGGAGTTTCAAGATCTAATTTTTGGTATATTGTGTAGAATTGTTATAGTTGGTATTCTTTTTTTTTTAATGTTTGTCTTATAAGTGTTTTAACATTTGTTACACAATATTTAAATTTATATTGCATTTGCAAACTGATTAAAAAAGAAATTTCAGACATCATACATTTTAAACACAGTCTTTCGAGATAGGTTAAACACTGCTTCCCTGGTCAAGTCTGTTGACCCCATTTTTTTTCCCATCAGCCTGGTCACACTGTACCCATTCCCCCTAGATGGTTGAGTTCAGTTCCGGGGGAATTTCAGCAGTCTGTAAGCGTGGAGCCAGTGCTTTCCTTTGCAAAATTTCCGTTTGCCAGTGTTATTTCTTTCTTGTTAGCATTCCAGATTCGCTCCTAAACTGGCTTGCCTTTGGGTCCTGAGCCCTTTTTCTATGTTCTATTTAGGAGCGTGGAGCTGCTGGGGGGTGGGGGGCAGGAAAGGCACGAGACCTGACGTCTTGAGCCTGGGGCTGAATCTAGCCTCTACTGCTTGCTCATCATGCAGACAGGAGCAGGTCACACGGCTGCCATTTGCTGAGTACCATCTGTGTGCATGATGCTTCAGGCCCGCTTCGGGACAACCCTTTGTCCTGCTACAGATGGACAGACAGAAAGCAGAGACGTATTATGCACTCATGGCTCACAGGCAGTGGAGCTGGGATTCAAAGGCTGTGTCTGTCTCTGAATTCAGGGGTTTCTGATGGTTTTCTTCAGGGTAAGAGGTTCTGCAGGGGGAGGTGGATGAGGGCTGGAGGCTGCACAGCCAGGGTGGCTATGGGCCCCCAATCCTTCCTCTGAGAACAATTTACTGTCATCTGTTTGCTAATTAAAATTTTATTGGGAAAAGGTTTGAAGCTTAAAAGTCACTGGGAAATAACTATATTTTTACTCCATTATGACTTTCTAAGTTATTTAAGCTCCTGGAGAATCTTTGTCTGCTGTAAACTCAGGATACTGATAGTAACAATCCTTACAGAATTGTAAGAAAGATTAAATGAAGTAAAACAAGCAAACCATGTTGTATAGGATGGTTAGTTCTGTAAGTTAGTTCTCTTCCCCCTTATCATAAAGAGGCTTTGCATCTAGGTATGGTTCACCTGTGCCCAGGGCACAACTGAACCATTTATTTGGATGTTTTCACATGATTTACAAAAATGGCCAATTAATTCAACAAGTACTTGTTTAGAACCACCTGTGTGCCTAGAAAAGTGTTGGGTCTGTGGCCAGGCATGCGTGGTGGAAGGGGCATGGGCAGCCAGTAGTGCGGAGGCTGTGAGAGGCGTCTCCTCCTGCCCCGTCCCACCCTGAAGAGAACTTTGATGTCTGAACAGCCTCCATCAGGCATTCTGTCTTTGGCTGTTTTCAAAATTTCTCACTAAAATTCAAAGCCGTCAAGAGAGGCAACTTCTCAGTTTTTGTGAGTTTGTTCCTTAGGAGGAGTGACTATAGAGAAACCCAGGGCAGATTTGGAAGAAGGCCTGAGAGGAAGGAGAGCGATCAGCGGGGAGGTAGGAGCAGCTGTAAGTCAACATTGATTTCCTTCCCGACTCAGCCAGGGTGGGCCTGCACCAGCTGTCCCAGGGCTCGGGCCTACTTGGCCTGTTCTTGTAAAATACACCTAATGGAATCTAAATACCATTAGCAATTTGATACTTACCATCACTGCCACCATCATTCCTTTAAAAAAACATGAGTAAACTCTGCTTTAACATTTGGAAATTTACATTGTTCTTTTTCCTCCGTTAATTCTTACTTTCATTTACTTTCCTCATACAATTTTACTCTAACGATGATAAGTTTTTTGCTTGAAAATCTTTTATGGATCACACTGTCATTTATCTGCAGCAAAAATACGCATTTAAATTGAACTTTAGAAGATGGTGAAAATTTCCTTTGTTAAGTCTCTAAATGTTAACATTTATCAATTGAGTTATAGTTACTAGCATACAGTTTGATTACTAGCATACAGTTGATCAAAGCAAAATATATCACAAATTTAAGTAAACATTTTTTAAAAGTTGGAAATGCATCTCTTAATGAGATGATAGAACTGTTCTTTTAAAATTAGTTTATATGTCCATGGATGATAATTATTGCTAGAATGAAGCTAGGTTTAGAGTCAATTCTGGTCTTTCTAAAAAAAAAATAGATATAAGAGCTGAGAAATTTTATTCACATAAGTAGACAGGAAGGAATTTTGTTATAGCCACGTCACTCAGTTCATTGAACTCCTGGGTTTTATATATATGCTTAAAATCACATACTGGTCTATCATCAGGAGATTTTAAATGATTTACCAACTGACAACTTAATAAGGTCTTCTGTCAATTTTGTTAGAAGCAGAGAGTTGGAAACCATCGAGTATACCAAAAAGTGTTTTTCTGAAATTCATCAAATGACTGTTCTTATACATGTTTAGTCTTTTACTTAGAAGTATTGGGTTGGCCAAAAAGTTCATTCGGATTTTTCTGTAACATCTTGTGGAAAAGCCCAAACTTTCTGGCCAACCCAATTCCCTGTTTAATTGGATATATTTAGAAATGGTTGAGAACATTGAAATATTTTTAATTTCAGTGTACTTTCACCAATAAATGATTTCATCTTAAAAATTGTATCAGATCACATGTTTAAAATCTATTTTTCTGGAGCCTTGGAGCCAGATTTAGCTCATTCAATTTATGGAAAATGTCTGCCACATTGCCTAATTGCCATGGCAGTTGCTCCACAGTGAACCATCTAAGTCAGGCTTATTTTCTGTCAGAAGACATTTACTTGGTTTTCGAATTTAATAAACATGATATATGTCCCCATGGCAACTAGCTGTTTAGAATTCTAATTCTAAAATGGTTGGCTGGCCAGATTGGGCCTGGAACCCAGCTCGGTGTGAGCTGCCTGGGGAAATAAGCCACTGGGATTTAGTATCTTTTCTGATGCTCTCTTTGCTCTATCAAGACTCTGCCTTAGGGAAAAGCATCTCCCTGGTTGGAGGATGAAGGAAGCACAATTTCTAAGTAAAAAGTATTCATACTGAGGTCCGAATACCCTATTTCTCATCCATGACCATTATTTCCGATGCCTAAAATGCCATTATTTCTAATGCTGTGGCCTTATAGGAAACTTGTATAAGACAGGGAAGACCCAAAGCCCCGTCTCTGGTTTATGATGCCTTGACTGGGGATACCAGTATTTCAGACCCTCTCTTTGGTGCCCTAGGATATCTTTCCATACTGTGGGAAACGCACCATAGGTGCTGGGTGAAAGGCATCTTTGTAGAGTGAGCAGAGGGCAGCTGTGAAGAAGGGACGTGAGAAAGGAGAACCTGCACAACTCCTCAGCTACAAGCATGTTTTCAGGCAGATGAGTTTTAGGGAAAAGTACCCATGGAAGTTGAACTTCTGCAAATAGATTCTTTCACAAACTGTTCATCCGTGTCCCCCGGAAAGTCTGTGTTTTAAAGGCTTCAGTAATCAGCTTTCATGATTACAGAGTTCAATTTTCATTTTAAGGAGCCCCTCAGGCCACATTCATGGGCATTCTCATCCTTTTATTCTCTTGGCTTCTAAGATGCCCCCTGCTTTGAGTTATAGTCTTATCCCTCTGAGAAAAAAAAACAAACTGTACCATAAATATTGATATTCCCCAGTTTTATCCTTGGGCCATTTTTTCCCCTCACACTAATGTTCTTGTGCCAAGTGTTTTCAGTTTAATTACTTGTAAATCAGTGATTTCTGACTTGATGCAAATCACTTGCTTAAAGAGAAATAACCTCTCCTTGTTCACAGAACCAAAGTACTCGAGTGTCTGAGGAAAGACTTCCAAGAAATGAGGAAATTGAGGGACAGCAACCAGGGGAAGAAGAACAAGGTTATAGTGCCAGATCGTTTTTTTCTCTCTATGGAGATGTCAAGGCAGAAAACATGGGATTGTGTCAGTAAATAGTTCTTTTAGATTATCTGAAGGTAAAAGGAAAGCCAAATTTAGGAGATTTTAAAAGGTTTGCTACGTCGCTTTTTAAAATTTTAAAAACCTTTTATGGAAAATATTTTAAATTTACAAAGTTGCAAAAATAAAATAGTATAAGAACACCTATATACCTTTTATCCAGATTCACCTGTTGTTAACATTTTACCACATTTGCTTTAGCATTTGTGTCCTATCCCTTTATATCTGAATAAAATTATGTGTATACACACATAATTTATATATCTCTAGGTATATAATATATGTACATATACACACAGTTTATATATCTATAGAGAAATAAAGTACATAGACACATATCTTTATAGACATTGATACATTACTCTATCATCCATATTTTAATTTTGTCAGTTGATCTAAAATATTCTCTCTAGCACTTTTTTCCTTCTTATAGAGAATCTAGTCTAGGTCAGGTGGTACATTAAGTTCTTTTCAGTCTTTTAATCTGAAATATTTCTGTAGTTTTTTCTTATGTATTCTGTAATATTTTTCTAAGATACATCCCCCTCCCCTTTAACGGGCTGTTCCTCATTTTGTGTTTGTGTGATGTTTCCTCATGACTAGATTGAGGTTATGCATTCTTGACTAGAACACTGTATAGGTGATGCATGTCCCTCTTAAAAGAGTATCACATCTGGTAGCACATGATGCCCATCTGTCCCTCACTGACGATGTTAATTTTGATCACCCTGTAAGGATTTCTCTTTGTATACTGTTTTTCTTCTTCCCTTGCAATTAATATGTAATCTTTAGGGAGACACTTTAAGACAGTACAAATACCCTGTTCCCCATAGTTTAGCGTCAGTTGATGACTCTTACATGATCTGAACTTCACCTCGACGCTTGCAAAACGATGGCTAATTCCAGTACCCCATCCACGTTTACCAGTGGGCCCTGGCATGCTACTCTAAGATAAAGAGCTCACCCCACCTCCCATTGGTTTGTATGTTTATTATCAATATAAATTCATGAACTCCTTTTTTTCAGTGGTTTATAATTACTTACTTAACTATATTGTTCCTTAAATGGTCCCAGATGTGACGGCTAGGAGCCCCTCCAGCCTGACTCCTGTGTCCTTGTGACATGCTATTATGTGTTTTTGTTCTTCCTTACTTTCTAGTATAACAGGATAGTGCAGGCTCATCTTGTACCTGCTCTGCCCAGTCCTAGAATTAGCCATTTCTCTGAGGAGCCTTTTAGTGGGGAATGTATTAGAAATCAAGATCTGGGTGCAAAGTTGGCTCATTGTCATTGAGATGTCTTGGCTTCTTGGCCTTTTCAGTGGATGGAACTAGAAAATATATGTCTGTATTATGTGTGTGTGTGCGGGTACACATACACACGTACCTATGTAACTTGGATACAGATATGCACATAAGCATAGGTTTACATTTCTAAACATGATTTTAAAGTCTTTTTCATTTTGTAATATAATGAAGCAAGGAATGCTTTATCTATGCAGTTATATTTTTGATGTTCAGGGAGTTTTGTAAGTGTTGTGCCCATTTTATAAAAAGAGCTGGTGAAGTAAAGAGTAATTGGATTTGTTATATATATGCAAATACCCTCTGGCCCTTCCATAGTTTTTAATTACTAACTTCATATTACCAATGTGAATGTGTTTCACAGTTAGGATTTAGGTTCTTGATATATCGATAGTTCCAAGTATAGTTTTTTTGTATAATTTATACAATTGTCCCTCTGTACTTGATGATAGGAAAGCATAGTACTGAATAAGTTTGTTATGTTACATATATGTGAGTTTGTATGGATATATATGTATGTGTATATGTATAGATACGGAATTATTAGTTTTCTTTCATAAGATATACTTATTTTTAAATAGTTGCAGAGTTTGAATAATGCCACATGAGTATCTTGTCGTGATTCTTCACTACAGAAGTTTGTAATTTAAAGATTTGTGATGAAGAAATATCACATAGGGCAGTGGCATAGCTTCCAGGTTATTAGATCATGGGATCCGTAGAGGGCATCAGAGTTAACCTCCTAACTAAAGTTCTGTGCCCTGCACGACCTGTGGCGAGCCAGCCCCTGGCGGGTGTCTGAAGAGGAGATGATCATCTCATAAGAGATACGTGTGCAAGCCCTGCCACCTCAACCTGCACCACTGATTGCTTGCTAAGCTGTGATGAGTCATTGGCTAGAGCTAAGGGTTCGATATTGGTGGAGGAAAAGAAGTGGAGTTTAGGGTTATTATGTAATAGCTGAGCTTCTAATGTGAACCATTTTCCCTTTAAAACAGTGGTAAATGATGACTTCTGAAGTTAACTGTTTCTTTGGTTGGTGTATAATGTGCGAATTAACCAATACACTGTTGCACTTCCTTGCAGTTCTGTTTGGCTATGCCACCACAGTCATCCCCAGGGTGTATACATACTATGTTTCAACTGCGTTATTTGCCATTTTTGGCATTAGAATGCTTCGGGAAGGCTTAAAGATGAGTCCAGATGAAGGTCAAGAGGAACTAGAAGAAGTGCAAGCAGAATTGAAGAAAAAAGATGAAGAAGTAAGTCAGAGCACTGTTAAACATCTGGACCAAAAAGGCACTCAACTATTAAGAGTAAACACTATCCAGAGGTTTTCCAATAGTCATCCATATCTGTGATGTGTGTGGGCTACACAGAAATAGCTTATTTTGTTTAGTTTCCGTTCTTACATCTGGCTGTGATAGGACCGGGTTAGTGTGATTGTGGTAGAGAAAGGACTCGGGGATGAATACTGAACACCTGTAATCAAGTTCCTTAATTAGACTGACTATAAGCTCCTGAAAAACAGGAACTGCAGTTTATAATTTTACCTGTTTCCTTCCACAGCATCTAGGATAATGAGTGATCAGTTAATATTGTTTATTTCATTGGGAAGAAATGGAAAAATTGAGAATATAGCATTTGTTGCTATGTGAGACCAGTGGTTCAAAAGAGAAGTTTGGGGTCACATAACTTTAGTTTCTCAGAGCATATTCCCATGGAATTTAAACACTGTTTAAAAGAAAGATTAAGTAATTTTGTGCTCTATTGACTTGGTTCCTAGAATTAATGTCTTTTTTTTTTGAAATTTAGTTTCAACGAACCAAACTCTTAAATGGACCAGGAGATGTTGAAACGGGTACAAGCACAACAATACCTCAGAAAAAGTGGCTGCATTTTATTTCACCCATCTTTGTTCAAGCTCTTACATTAACATTCTTAGCAGAATGGGGTGATCGCTCTCAACTAACTACAATTGTTTTGGCAGCTAGAGAGGTGAGTGGTACTTGGAGACTGCTTCTGTATTAAAACTAAGCATAACTAATGTTACTTTGCTCCAGAGGTCACGGGACAGAGTCAGGGTGGGTCAAGGGATGACTTCATATGCTAGACTGTTTTAGATCTAATTACGCCACCGCTCTTTAAAACTGACCTTCTCCCAGTTTCTACAGCCGGTCAGATTTCTCTCTTTTGACTCCTCTTCCCTTCAATTTTGCCAAAATGATGGTGTGGCAGTTGTTTTGGCTTAGTTTTTTCTTTTCTCAGAAACTTCCTTTGTATACTTTATGTTGAGAACATAAATGGTATATTATTATTGAAGGCCAATTTGGCAATAAATACCTAATGCCTTGAAAGTAGGTATCTTTGGCTTCTTCTGTTCCTTGTGCTAAAAAACTAATTTGAGTGTTGCAGAGGTTACTTAGAAAAGTTGTTAAGTCTTAGCCCCAGGTTACTCAGTCCTAGGATGTTAAGCCAGAAGACACTTCAGATTATCTCGTTCTAGCCTTTGCTCTACAGATAAGATCCTGAGGCCCAGAGAGGCTGGGTGACTTGTCCGGGGACAGAAGCTAGTTGGTAGCAGGGACGAGGACTAGAGCCGAGGCTGTCTGCCTTCTAGGCTTTTCTGCTGTATCTTCTTCATAGTTGTCAGATGCCACTCTGTAAAAGATAACTGTTTGTTGAGAAAATGTTTAACCCTCATTTCTTTTGAGGGGAGTAAAGTTTTACATGAGGTGTCTGTTATTGTTCACACTGATTGAGGTCTCCTGAAGAGACGGTTGTGGGATGGAAGGCTGCTGCTGCTTTTCAGCTCTTCTTGATCTTAACTAATGCTGTTTCTTATATTTTTATATCTATGAGATTACATTGTTTTTAATCAGATGGTAAGATGTTTAGATAGCAAGCTTGATTTGAATTTATTTTTAACACCTAGGAAATATCTACCATAAAAAGAACAAGTTCCTCAACATAGGCTGCAGTTCAAAATATAAAACAAGAGTTGAAAGCCAGGGCTAAGATAGTTGAGGATGGGCTGTTTTGTCAGAGAAGCCTCAAAAATGCGGAAAAAAAGGAACTCGATTTTTCATTTGAGTCCCGTATTTAAACATAAGCTTTCTTTTAAAATGTCATTTTAATGGCTTTGACCTATAATTTTCTTGGTCTCCAGCCTTTTTTATTGGCACTCAGATTGTCAGAATTGGGACTTGAAAGCAAGTGATCATTCTGTGGCGGTTGGTTCTGCCATGTGAGCTGTCGTGACGGCAGAATCATTGCATTTTTCTTAATACTGTCGTCTAAGCGGCACGAGCGACTTGGGACAGGCTCGAGACTCCCTGAGCCCCCAGGGTCTGCTCCCTGCCAGCAGTGCGGCACCTGCGGCCTGGGGTTGAGTCTCTGGCCATGCGAGCACATCACTGCAGCGTCTACATCCAGGGTGGCTCTGAGCTGAAACAAAGTGATGCACATAGGGTCCCCACTGTGGGGAGCACTCAGTGTCAGCCACCTTCCACACTGCAGCACCACGGGCGCATGGAATGGGCTCTTCATGAGCACAGATGCAGTTGTCTTTGTTACTTTAATCTTCCTAATTTTTTTTGGTAACTTTTTTGTATAACCCATGCAGTAGTCTAGTCCAGTCCATTTTAGTCTGAACTTCATTTCTGCTCCCAGTAGAACTCAGTGTTCTCAGTTTGGATGTCACAGAATCCTAGTATCCTTTGAGATGTTAATGGGTACTAAGCAAAAAAAAAAAAAAAAAATTGAGGAAAAAGTTTGCAGGGTCAAATAGATTTGGCAAATAATATATCCTGGTTTTTTTGTTTTGAAGATGGAGTATACAAAATACCAAAGACTCTGAAAAATGCTGTATTAAAGGAACCATTTAATTTTATTTAAATCCAGTGATTTTTCAAGTGTCACTTTCAGATAGAATGAAACCATCTTCTGGGATATTAGTTTTAGAGGTTATAACAGAATTTAGGAAATGTGGTCCCACTCTTCCATTCCTCACAGACAGTTTCCAGCTCTCTCCATTTCCCCAGTCCACACACACACTGCCCACCCCAGCAAACAGGCCTCCTGCCACTTCACAGAAGAAAGCAGAGGTCATTGTTTCTTCACTGCCACCCATCACAGTGGGTCCTTTCCCACCTGTATTCTGGATTCCAGCCCCCAGTGCTCCCACTTACAGCTTAAATCTTGGCCTTTCTTCCAGCCCAATTTTGCGAGCATATGCACAAGTTTTTCTCATCTAAAAAAGTTTTACCCCTTCCTCAATTCTGCTTCTCTTCCAAATATAAGCCTCTTCCTCCCCCACTTCCCTCAGTTTCAGAGGGCTTGGCTGTGATGGGAACAGGAATTGGCTCTACTCCCTTGCCTACTAAACCCACTGGGCTCTAGTTTCTGACTCACCGGTTGATTTGGTGCTTTAAGTTCACTGCAGCCACCAGTGGGGCTTGCCGTGGTCATCTTGGGAGGCTAATTGCTTGGCCACCTGTTCAGTCTCCCTTGGGCTTCTCTTCCCCTGTCAGCTCTTCAGTATTGCTTTCCTCATGATCATATCGTCAGCGCTTTCCTACATTCTCTCCTGGGGTTATGATGTTCAGTCCCATCACTTCTTCTCCATTGAACTCAACTGATTCTTGAACTTCTCTACTTTTAACTCCTTTGTTGGCAGCCACAAACCCTTTCTCCCTTGCTTCCTCTACCTTTTAAATCACATTGGTATTGCCATAATTCATCTAGAGAATTATGGGTGAGGAACTCAAGTGTCAGGCCTGATTTTTTTCATTTCCTATCATTCACTTACCACTAAGGTATATCAGTAGTGCCTCAGTTTCTCTCGAATCCGTCTGCTTTTCTCTGCCTAGTCTCCCATGCCAATCCAGGCCAGCACTGTCTCTTCCCAGGGCTATTGCTGTAGCCTCTCGATTGATCACTTTGCCTTCAGTCTTCTTCCCCTCCAGTGCACTCTCTAGACTCGACTTTTAAAGCATAACCTGTCTGTCACTCCCCAGATAAAAACCAGTGTCTTAAAAAGTCTAAACTCTAAGCTTGTACAGGTCCTTCATGACCCAGCCCCCTCCTTGATGGGACTCCTCCTCTCGTGACTCACTGGTTCTCTCTAGAAACACTCAAGTGCTCCGCAGCTGCCTCTTGCTGCTGGCCTGCTGCCAGGTCAGGTGCTTCCACTTGTGCTTCAGGGCTGTCTTTTCTGGAAAACTTTCACTGGTCTTCCCAATCTGAGTGCCTCCAGTTTGCTTTGGTGGCAGGTGTTTACTGAATGAATACTGTGTCCTGACACTGAGGTAAAGCACTGGGACACAGTGGAGACGGAGAGGCAGGGTCTCTGTTCTTAGGAAGTACAGTGAGGCTACGCTCTTATGTAGTTTCTAGACAGTATCAAATACTGCCTGAGGGAAGAGGTGTCTAGGGTATGTCTCCTTGGCACTTGTCACTTAAGAGCTAAATAGTGCCTGTGAAGTAAGTTCAACAACTGCTGAAAGGTTGAATTAGGTTACTTTGATTTACATTGATTTGAGTTTATTCTTCTTTTATCTCTAGTCATAGGTATAAATGGAACATATTCTTTCAAGCAGCCATGACACTTTTCATAAATTAAACAGCTAATTCATAGAATTGTTTTATGCTTTTTTTGTTGTTGTTACTGACCTCTGTTTTCATTGCTTGATAGTTATCTTTCTCAGGTAGCAGTTTCAACCTTGGTTTTAAATTAATGGTATGTTTCCAGGACCCCTATGGCGTAGCAGTGGGTGGAACAGTGGGACACTGCCTCTGCACTGGACTGGCAGTAATTGGAGGAAGAATGATAGCACAAAAAATCTCTGTCAGAACTGGTAAGTCTTTTTTTCTTTTTTTAATTAGAAAGAAAATTCCATTTATTTTAACTTTTAGAATCACTGAGGTTAGAAAAGAGAACGTGTTTCTTCTGAAGCAGACTTGGTCTTTGCTACGATAATCTCTTAGAGGTCCAACGTACTGGCTCTGCTGTGGCAAACATGGACTGTTTTTCACTTGGAGGTGTTAGTAAAATACAGAACCATCTCAAAGCATTACTGGATTCATAGTAGCTTTCTGTCAACATATTTAAGTCAGTGAAACAACCCTGTGGAAATACGAGAACTTTTTAGCTTTGAAAATGTGTCTTCGGGATTGGCAATCATAGATGGAGACCATATTTACTGATTCAGCTGAAAATTTCCTACGTAGCTGATAGATCTTAAAGATGGAATAAAAATAGTCTCTTTGGTGGTCAGAAGTTGTTGAAAATTCTCTTATATAATTGGCTTTTAAGATGAGTTATAGTTCTATTGTTGCTTGTCAGCACTGTTGCAATTTAATAATTCTGTTAGTAAAAGAGTGCTGGAAAATAAACTGATTCTTAACTGTTCACAGTCGGGCATGTTAAGTATTTTGCTGTGGAAATGAGGTTGAAGTGTTTCTAATTTGTTCAGGTATTCCTAATTTGTTTTTAATGTTAGTTTACTAGATTAGAAGAATAATAGGCAACATCAGGGCTTATTTAGAGGAATTTTGCCTTAAATTTTTTTCTGTTCTCTTACAGTGACAATCATAGGAGGCATCGTATTTTTGGCATTTGCGTTTTCTGCACTATTTATAAGTCCTGATTCTGGTTTTTAACATGATACTGTTCATTTATATTTAGTCTAAGATAGGTGAACTATGTACATAGTGTATATTATAACTAAAAGTGATGGAGAATACTGTATTTTGTAGCATTGATTTGTGAGTTTGACCCATTTAATGAAAGTATTATGTCCAAGAGAAATAATCACTGATTCTATTTGCGAAATGGATTTTTAAAAAAAAAAAAACTGATATCTAAGTGTGGATTTTTTCTTTTCTCCAGCTTAATTATGTGAATATGGTCTCCTTTTCTTGGCCGGGGCGAGGTGAGGGTAGTATATAGAGAACCATTGTTCGGCAGGGGGCCTGCCACTTGACTCTCTTTCAGCACTGACCCCTTTGCAAGGACTATGAGTTTTGTCCTGAATAACTGAGGTGTTTTACGACGTTTGTTTACCTTAAAATTTTTCCTGGGGGAAAGAATGAATTAATTTCTATCATCTAGCTATCTTTTAAAACATTTTCCTGAGCCAGTAAGCAGTGGTTTATCAGAATAATCAGAAGTCTTTTCAAAATTAGGTTTTTGGGGCTTCCCTGGTGGCACAGTGATTGAGAGTCCGCCTGCCGATGCAGGGGACACGGGTTCGTGCCCCGGTCCGGGAGGATCCCACATGCCGCGGAGCGGCTGGGCCCGTGAGCCATGGCCGCTGAGCCTGCGCTCCGCAACGGGAGAGGCCACAACAGTGAGAGGCCTGTGTATCGCAAAAAAAAAAAAAAAATTAGGGTTTTTGTTTGTATGTTTTTTTTAAGAGCAAGGGAAATGTATTACTGTTAATAACATGACAAGAATTGTCTGCCAGGTCCATTCTTTTTTTCAATTGGGTAGGAAACCCAATATAATAACAGTCAGTCAATATTTGACCATGTGGAATTACCAAATTAAAAGAGAATACCGTGAGTGTATTCATATTTTTTCTATATTGAATAAACAATGTAACAGAGATACAACATAAATAAAAAAGTGTTATGACCAGTGCTTGTTTTTCCTTGTGTGTTATGCAAGTTCATAACTCTAATTTATCAAATCATGAACATTTATAGACCAGTTTCTAAAGCTGATATAAAAAACAGCAGCAAAGCATTGTTCTAAAGCACTGTCTTAACCTTCACACAGTTCTGTGAGGGAGTAGCTACTAATAAAAAGTTGAAAAAAAGGGTTAACTCATCCAGGGTTACATGGTAGAGCAGGGAGTCAAGCCAGTTTACTTCTAGAGACCATAATCACCGATTGTGGTGAAGGGCACCTCATGTTATCATAGCAACTTCAGTAATCACTGTCATTTAAGTAAGTCTCTTCTAACTTGAGTACTAACTGTTCCGTCCAAGCAGCATAACTGTTTTCTCCCAGCCTCATAGGCTCTGTTACCATATGCAATAACACTGCCATCAGAAGCCTCTAGAGACCTGAAGGGACAGTTGTTCTATAGAAACTCCCACATGTTCCTTGTGTGAAGTAATAGCAGACCCAGAGCAAGTCAGGTTTACTGAGCTACTACAAAGTTCACAATGTACAGTCATTTGTAACTTGAACAGATTGTGAAATAATCTCGTTAATCACCCAGCATTCTCAATACAGCAGTCATTCTGCAGTAGTAACCATTACTGTGAGGAGATCTAAAAGTGTCAGTTAAAAAGCAGCAGTTCACATATTTCTGAAAAAGTCATTTTTAGAAACTTTTAAGGAGTTCTCTACCATGAAAAGTGTGTGTTACAGCGTAAAGAAACCACAATGTCCATGAGTTAAGATAAAGCACTTCAAAGAAATCTCCGGTTAAATCCTGAAACTACACCAGAATTCTCTGGAGTTAAATACCCCTAATACTGCCTTAGATTATTACAAACAGAATAAGTGAGGAATTGCATTATTTCTTTTCCAAGAATAGAAAGGATACTTCCTTGTTAGAAAGTAGCTGGTACCATCATAGCCCACACCTGGAAGTGCAGGCCGCCTGGTCCCAGCACCAGCTTAACGGCGAATAACAGCGAAGCTTTCTGAGGCACCACAATCTTGTAACAGGACACAACTACTCAGAGAATTTGGCAGCTCAGACCTTAGCTACAAGGTAAAAATTGCTAATGCAGTTACACTCCATTGCTGAATAAAAGAGAGGAAAAAATGTCATTGGTAGTGCTTTTAAAATATTTAATATTCTTTAAAATCCAAAATAATGTGATTCTTACAAGTTATGTGCCACATAAAGCAGGTGTTATTTCTTTGAGAAATGCAGGTGATACTGGAGAACAGCACTGAGGTATTTTTTATTTTTAAAACTGAATAAGGAAACAAAGTCTGAATCTAATTAATTTTACATTTATAAAAAAAAACTCAATGCTACTGCTTGGCTCTTTTGCTATAATTTTAGGTTCTGAATACAAGAGTATGGGAAAGAGCATTATCATAGTACATATAGTTTTTAAAAACTGTGCACATCATAACCTGGAAAAATGATTATACAGCAAGAGGCCTGAGTGGAGGTAGGCTAATAACACTTTACCTGTTCTCAAAGGACAGCTCTGAGAAACAAGTGTGACCAATTGTAACACCAAATTAAAATGGCAATATTTAAATAAGTAACAAAATGATCCGCATTTTATATAATATTGAATTTCCAAACATAGCTCATGAAAATCAGCAGAGAACCTATTATAGCACCGTTGAAACCATTCATTATCCCATTGTGCTTCTGTGTAATTTAGGATTTGGGCTGAAGTTATTACTTGGAAAATGTCAGTCTTGTTTTTGTAAATCAATCTGGATTTCAATGAAATGTTTGCTTTAGGAAAAAAAAGGTATTCTTAGCCATTTATAGCTCCACCCTTTCAGAAGGAAGAATGACAGGCTATATCTAATTTTAATTTAAAACCAAGAACCAAGCAGTAAGGACACATCAATGTCAAGAGTAGTACACTAAGAACCACACAGAACATTAGAAAGAATTTGGTGTGTGTTTTTACAATTACCAACTGATGTTAAATTAACAATTAAAAATTTACAGAGATAAAACTTTTTTTTTTTTTTTTGCACTGACTGGTTTCAATACAGCACTGAATTTAACTCGTCTTTGGGCTTCAGTCTTTACATAGAATGAATGTGCAAGTGCCATACTGAGCACCCTCCCCGACTTACACCATATGATAAAACAGACTTCAGAGTAATTCTAGGATGATCTAAATTACAGCTGCTCTGGCTGACATCTATAAAGGAAAAGGATTCCTCTTCTTTTTGCTTGATGGTGATTGTCCGGTTACATAATACATCAATCTGAAGATAGATAACAGAGCTTTCCTAACATTTGAACTCTTTAGTATTGGTACAACCATTGCCAGCAGTGAATCTGTACCAGTATAGGCCAACTCAAAATACACATCATAAAACATCTGAATGTAGTTTTTAAAGCAATGTCACCGTTGGTTTCCTCAGAAACTAAAAAGCATACATTTAAAGACATCGTGTCTCCAATTTAACCCTTAGAGTCAAGAAACATTTTTTATATCATTAAATCCAACTGGTGGTTGACCTCCTTTAATTACCATTCTCTAAGGGATCCCAAAAGCTAGAGCGTGCTCTGGACCTGGGCTGTGGGACTCAAGAACTACTCTGGGAGCCCTAAGGTGGGGAATTCTGTTCCAATACAGACCAGCAAGAAGTATCCTCAAATTTCTAGGCCTCAAATGTTGAAACACTGCTTTATTGGACAATGCTGTGTATGGAGGTTTGGTGTAGCTTTGTTTTTAAAGGACCAAGCAACACTACACTATATAAACACAGCAAATGTTTTCTGTAGAAGAGTTTGCAGTATTCCACCTATATTTAAGGACTTTAGATGGATTTTAATATGGATATGATAGTGACGGCCATTAGAAGATGCTGACCGTTTTAATAACATTTTCCCAAACAGGCAGCGCGTGTTTTGGGTTCTGTCATACTGGCGTTTGGCTGTGTTGGGGAAGTTATCATATTAAAAGTGCCCATAAAATAGAAAAGGCAGCAAGTGAAACTAGAAAAAACTTGGAGCTATATGAAGCAGATTTGAAAGGAGTTACCTTTACTGTTTCCTATCTAAGTTGAGAACAGCAGGGAAGCACAGGGGCATCTGGACTGGGGCTCCACTGCTGTCTTGAAGTGGAACAGGTTCCAATCGCCATGAAGAGGCGTCGCGAGGGCTAAGGACTGCACCCCAGATGGGAAGAGCCAGTCCTCCACATAGAAGATTACAAGGCAAAACAAAACAAACCACAATTAAATACGCTGTGAAATCACTCTGATGAGAAAACAGAACACAAAGATATTTAAAAATATAAATAAATACATTTAGCCATTTTTATTCAAGAAACCCAGAGAACTGCTTTCAAAGCAATTGCTTCTTTAAAAACCACTTTCTAAATTCTCCCATAAATACTATTTTGATTGTCACTTAATGCAGCACCTCAGTATTTGCTGGTGGTGGTGATGGACTTTCACTTAATACCTCTTCATAAACTATTTCACTAAAGAACGTTTCCCTAGGAAAACTCAGGCAGCTTACAAAATATTGTTAAATACTCAAAAACAGAACCTGCAAAGTATTATTTTATTTAACAAAAACAAGGAATGTAGTGTTAAATTATGACATGAGGAAAAAGTATGCAAAACAGTCACATGGAAAGAAAGTTTTAATTTTTAATATCCACGTTTGCTTAGTTTCTTGTGAGCTGTTCAATACTGTTTCAAACATCCTGAATTAATAACTGTACCAACAAAATTCATCCCCAGTGTTTCCACAGGAGACATTAAAATATGACCAAATTATTATTATTTTTCCTTTTCTTCAACCAAAGTAGTCTTTCTCAGTCCTTTCTGTGCAAAAATATTACAAGAGCAATTCAAATGGAAACACTGAAATGACATGCCAACATTTCAGAGCACATTTAAAACACCCAGAATAATTCTTGAAATTACTGTATTCTAAAATATGACTACCAATCACTTTTAGGTTAGTTCTATACATCTATTCACACTGATGCAATTCTCCTAGACCTCTGAAAATAAACAGGCTCATTGGTCTCTTTTGGTGTCCACACATTAGGCAAGATAGGTTTACAATAGTGTCTAAATGGAGCTAGGCATCCACAGTCTCTTGACTCCACCACATTCAAAACAAAAGTCAAAGTTCATTTGGCTACCATGAAATCACTCCCATAAACCTACTATGGTTCACTGGATCTAAACATTTCTCAGAAATGTGTCATTTAAAAATTTCACCTAAGTGATGATTCGGGGATCCTTTAGAAATGGTAGTATCTAAGATAATAAACTTTATCAAAATGAGTAATTGCAATAAAGTGCTTGTTACCTTTCAAAATGATGCTTTTAGACTGTGGTGTGTTGTCTGCGAAGTGTGTGCTATTCCTATATAAAGGATCCCCAGGCATGAGAGTTGGGTCTTCTCACCTGTCTCAGAAAGCAGCAGCACTATCTCTTGGTAGGCTGACAATAGGCACGTTACCCATGCGGATGAGGCTAAGCTAGAGCTATGGCAAAAGGGGAAGTAAATTAGAAAAGGGGGGAGGCATGTGAAGGGTTCCTATTATATTCATAGTTATATACAAATATATTAAATATGCTATAAAAATAGTCAACTCTTTTCCTTTGCAATTACTTCAGAAGCTCCTTTTGGAAGAACGCTCACCCACCCCAAACAAAAGACTCTTTTCCTCCAATCACTATAAAATGGCAAGTGCCTTTGTGCTGTTTCTTTTCCTCTGTTTAAAAATTCCAATCGGCTTATTCCTGGCTAGACTCACTCAGCAATAATAATATCCAGTGTTTATACCTTCCAACACTGACTCCCGAGGGACTAAGAACAGGGTCACAGACATTGGAAAGGTTATAGACTTGAATGAGTTTTACACAAATGTTCGTCAACAAACTTTCAATTACCAGAGAAATATAGGAAAAGAAAAAAAGTAGAAATGAGCAATACCAGAGCAAAATGCTATTTGCAGTCCACTTTAAAAAAAAAAAAAAGGCTACCTCAATGTCGTGGAGACATCTTAAAACACGTTGAGTAACTTCCAGTTTAAAATAATTTTCACCTGTCTGTGTAGAGCCGGCAAATAGAGTACTATTTTAAGGGGCCCCTTCCTAAGGCTTCTTGAACAAGGGCTCATCTCCCTTCAACAAGCAGTGCCCTTAACTAACTGCAAGCAGACCGCTTTAAGGCAATGACCAACAACCCAAGCACTTCTGAAGAATTACAACACTTTCACGAATCTACACTGAGAATTCTACAACAAACTGTTCAAAGTCACTGGCATCCTTTTATTACTAGTACATTCCTAAACCAGATTTACGTGACAAAGCAGAGCACAGGACTCAAATTACCCCCTCAACCTGGGACGGAGTTGGGAGACTGAACTGTAGTATTTACTCACATGCTGCCCCCATCTTCCCCCGTATTTGCTTTTCTCCCAATATTTTCACTCAAAAACTGAAGTGCTTTTGAGTGTCTTGGTTCTGGTCTGACGCCAGTCGTGGCAGCAACTTCATGAACCCTTACAGTCCTCACTGGTAGCTGTGAGAACAACAGTGACTCACCCAGTGCCACAGCAGTCCAAAGAAGGTAACACCTAATGACTGCCACCCAGAATCAAGTGTTTTTTAAGAAAAACCGAGGATCTATGAGAGTAAAGCAGAGGGAAGATAAGATTTTTAAGTAGTTGAAAGGTGTTCCTATTTGGTATTTTTTCATGACTTAGATTTGGATTTTAATGAACAACTTTGGCTACAGAAATGAATGAAGAACAGGCCACTGCTGAATCTTCATCAGAATGCTCAAGTCTCAATGCACGGAGGAGGGGACAGGGACTGCTCTGCAGCCCAAGTTCCAGGGAAGCAGGAGGAAACCAAGTTAAAGGAGGAGCTGAGAGGCAGTTACTAGCTCTTCTGATCCAACACTTCATTCTGACAGCAAAAGAAAAGCTGCTCCTTTAAGTGTAGCAACCAATTCTAAGCAGGAAAAAAATGAGCTGTGAGGAACAGCAGGAATTATAAAGCAAAATCTTGTCTAATTTTCTTTCCCAAATATTTGTGAGGATGAAAAAATGCTTGAAGGGACTGGTGGAGGAGAATGTGCATAAACAGTCTACAGATTTACCTTGTGGCTTGTCTTATACTTTGCTTGTGTTAACCTAAGTACACAGTACTCACGGTTCACCATCTTTCTTTTTACATATGGGACTTAGAAAATAAACCTTAATATAATAGTTCATCATATCTTTTGTTTGCTAAATCTGTATCACTACATATTGCCAATAAATAAATGAGGCACAACTCAGATATATATGGAATGGCATGATAAGGTTAAGAAAGGCAATCTGAAAGGGGAAAAAAATACTGTTGCCATACTCTACAACATCAATGTTGTCCACGTGTACATATGCTCAAGTACACAGATATTCCGACATTTATTCTTGACATTCATGAGAAAGTCATGATCATTTAGCTAGAAGAGGAGCTCCTTGATATGTTAATTACTGATTGGCATCTAGTAACACTTCTTTTGTAGAAGGGTAGGTACCAAGTCTCTTTGGTTGTTTTCAACATTAATTTTCTAGTTTATGTGTGGCCAGGCATGGTTTTCTACAGAAAGACAAAGTATACCCCTTAAGGATGATAGCAAAGCTGAGAACAGAAAAGTCTTAAGAACTGACTGAGAGTTCCCCTGACTCCTTTATCTAGCAATTCTGTACTAGATTATTTTCATTGCTGAAATCTTTTCTATTTAACAACCTCAATTCTGTTACACATTTTCTTTTAAGGTCAATTTTGATTTATTATAGCTTGCTGTCTTCCCTTTCCTCAGTAATAATTTTTGATATTCTAATAAGATTTTTTCCCATTAATTTTCCTTTGTTCTGTAGTTATAAATTTAATTACTAGTACCATAAAATCTATAAAATGCTTTTTTTTTAATGTACGTAATTCTGGTTGGAACTTACTACCTTTAGAATGTATTAACAAATGAAATCTTAGTTCATGTTTATGAAGCATGTGAGCTACAATATTCTACTGCTGTAGTGAAGGCAAAGCCAATTCCTACCCCTTCTTTTTTCTTCACAGGATTTTAAGATCACATTGAGCAAATATTTACTGGTAATTACTAAATGACTACATAGCTTTAAGGAAAATGATGATTTAGCAAAACAACTTTGTGATCACATTAGTAACTCTGATGTATCATTAGGATGTCATCTTTTATTTTGAAATTATTTGTACCTCTAAACCAAGAGACTCAAAGCAGTCTTCATTAGAAACTTAATGGCACTGACACCCACATGCTATTAAAAATGTACCAAGATTTCAAAACTGCTACTGAAACCAGACGATGAGCTCAAGATGGTGAGTTATCACCTGAATCAAAATCAAGGCACAATGGGTTGTTTTTTTTTGTTTTTTTTTTTTCCCTCAAATAACCCTGAATCATTTCTGACTAAAAGAAGCATTGAAATTGTGGGGATAATAAAAAGGTTCCAACAAATCCTAAAAGTTAAAATTCCCACCAGTGAGAACGTTAAAAAGTGCCTAAAATATTTTGTGTGCAAATTCACTCCTATAACTGAAACATTCTTTAAATTACTTTCAGGCTTGTTAAAAACCATTTACACAACTATTTCCAACTATGAACTAGATCAAAATATGTGATCAAAACTCCCAACCATCTTAAAATAAAGCAGTGCAAATCCTATTTTCAAACATAATTGAAAAATAATGAAATGAGGGATATTTCTGAGTAACTTGAAAATCCTGTTTCAAATAATTTAACCTGAAAAAAAAAATCCATTCCCAGCAGCACATCATACCTCACTGAACAAACTGTGACATCACAGCCAAAGTATGAACATAAAAAGACTTGTGCCCCGGAAACTGAAGAGAACACTACTGTATGGTAAACAAAAGAGAGAAGAGGATGTATTAGTTTGCACATGGTGTCAGAATCTAAGGAAACTACTCATACCTAAATGAGATAATGCTTTCATGCAGCATACAAAATGTTTTGCTTTCTCTCCTTTTATCCAGACATATACATAATATTATTTTTACAGCGTCTGTACATAGAGAATTTAAACTCATACAACATTCTGAAATTAATTACTATTCCATCATTATCCGAAAAGGGAGAGGGGTTGGGGAAGGGGGCCTACTGAGTCTACTGGACTGTCTTCATGGCATCATTGTAAGCAAACCCCTGACATGGCAGTGGTGTATCCTCTGTAACACTTGAAAACAGGCACAGAACCACTCAAAGTTACTAACATTGTTAGTGCCTTTCTTATTCACTGGAGGTCATGTTTCATAGCTGAGTTTCTTAACATTTGGCAATATACTCTTTTTCCATCAAAAAATATCTGGGCAAGTAAAACACTGTCAGGATTGGCTATGGCCCTATGATCATCTCCTGCTGGCTGGTATTTAATGCACATCCGCAGCACGAGGCAGCATTTTCTCTGCTAACTAATTCCAGGAACTAGAACACTCAATACTGCATCTCATGAAACCACTGGAACTTTTCATGCTATCCTCAGATCATCCGAGCAACTCTTTTATGGGCCACCCCCTTCCTCCCTTGAGGGCAGAAAGGAAGCGTGTGTGCTACTGTGGTTGAACCTTGGAAGGATCAGTCAAACTGTCAGTCCTGCGCCGATTCAGTTGCTGCTGTTGCTGAGACTGGTGTTGCTGGTGATGTGACTGAGGGAAAGTGCTCTGCTGTAGTGGAAATGCAGCAGAGAGGATAAGCTGAGTTGAAGGGTTCCCGTGGAGCAATCTAGAAGTCTAAAAAAACAAATGGATTATGCAACACTGCTTTACCCGCACTATACTGTCTACATTAAGATTTACTCAATTTTTCCACTCTCCGCAGGAACAAAATCTGTACATAAGTTTTGCTTTCTCATTTAAAAATAATATTTTGGAAAACGCTAATGAGGATTTCCCTCTTCCTGAAAGTATAACAGAATTTCATTTTTTAAAAGGAAACTGAGCTAGAGGTTTTATGGTACAGAAAGCAATCTATGCCCTGAGGCAAACCACGCATATTCTTTCACTTTATATGTCCTAAAGACCACATTTTAAACAGATGATACAATTTAAGCATCGCTAAGAGCATATGAAACATGAACATTCTGAGGTCAAACAGACAACACCTTCTGCACAGGCTTTTTGATTGGTGAGAGCAGCAGTTCAGTGGCCAAGAGCATGGGCCCTGAGGTGCACTGCCTGGGTTCAAACTCTGGCTGCCCCATTTTACCCGATGTGTAACTTGGTCAAGCTATTTACATCTCTGGGCCTCAGTTTCTTCATTTACAAAATAAGGAGAATCACAGTACCTCCCACAATGGGTTTCTGTGAAGATTAAATATTAACATTATTATTATTTAAAAGTACCACAAAAATGAGGGCAGGCAAAGTCAGAGACTTATGTCCTATAGGTAGCAGTATCATGTAACAAAGAAAAAGCAAAACAAAAAGCGAGCGGGCAATCTGAAGTCTGAAGCCCTGGCTGTGAGTTTTGCTCTGCTATTTATTAGCTGTGTGGCCTTGGGCAAATGTCAAGTCCATGAACTTCAGTTTCTTTTGCCTAATTGCTCCTTCTAGAGATATAAAGGAAACTAGCCAAAAGAAAGTGAAAGTCTTTCCTCACTACTGACAATACATCTTGACGCAGGGTGCATAATTTTAAACTGGAACTGTGATGGGTGATTTCTGCAAATGTATGTGAAGGACACCTGCACACGCACACAAAAGGACAGATCTTTGAAACTTTACGGCCATTAAGCTTTGCTAAGGACCTGGAGACATTTTCTTTTTCCCTCTGTTATTAGGAACAGCTTTTGTAAGAAAAGAACTCAGGATATTTATGAGCCTTACAGGGTTACAACAGAGGTACACTTTGGAACTAGGTGTTATATAACCAGAAAAGACAAATTGTGTATTTCTATCTGCATATGAGTGTATTTCTAAAGGGTATTGCCTATCTTATTTCTTTAGTGGTTCCATGTCTTTGGAATGTTTTTTTAAAAGTGGAAGAGAATGTTCATTCTTTTAAGAGCCCTCGTTCCCTGAGAGAAAACTGAGCTCTTAAGGCAAGTCTTCTCCCTTTCTAAGCTTTTGCTTAATTTTCATTGAATACATTTCCCCTAGAGAATAGTTTATAACTTATTATAAATTCTTGTCATTAATTAATTTGTAACAATAGCTAACCCAGTCATTAATGGCTGCACTGTAGGCTTAAGGTCTAAGGGGTTGTATGATTCTCAGAGATATTTAGGCAACTAACCTCTTTTAGTTTAGCACATCACCAAGTTCAGAATTATATTTGTACCAGAACACCAATGGCGATAAATTAACACTGTATTTATGTCTGAGTATACAGTATAACACTGAATCTTCTAATCATACCATATGCTGTATAACTTTAAAACTGATGATATGTACCTGGCATACATGGAATGGTATCCAGCACAAATCTAGGCTTAGCCTACATTCAAAATCGCTGGCCTTTTAGACCAGTAAGGAAAAAGCTGGATTTCCAGATGTCATAGTCTGCTACTGTGTACCCCCAATGAGGGTACTGAGGTCCAGAAATTTGTCCTGCTGATTTCTTTGCTGAGGATCCCGATCTAGGTGACCTTGTTCTGCACCCTTTAGATAAGTAGATTCTGTCTGATATACCCACATGAGATCTGTGTCTGCATTTTGGTTAATCTGAGTGTCTATTAATACATTTATCAAGACAGTGGTCATAAAATCAAGCTAGTTATGTGCCTTCTACCATACTCAGTGATTTGCATGCTTCTTTCACCCATGAGATATTAACTACTAGCACCTCCATATTACAGATGAGGAAACTGAATTTTAGCAAGTTGAGTAACCTCCAAAGTTCACACAGTATGTGGTACAGCAGTGACTCAATCTCAGCGCAGGCTATGCCTCCACAGTATATCTCCTCTGATGTTAATATATTACCAAAAAGTCACTATAAAATTTAATCCAATAAAATAATTTAAGATAATGCCTAAACTAATTTTTTTAAAAAGTCCCTTTCAACACCTCTGCCCTGTAGAGAGTACAGCTTGATGGGCCACTAGGAAAACAAGAGAACAGAGAAAGGTGCCTTTGCTTGAATTCCAGAAACTCTAGCCAGAGAGAGCTCTATGTAAAGTACCTTGATATGGGCAAGAAGCAGCCACTTACTCTATCCAGCAGTTCAGACAGTGGGGTATCTCCACGGCAAGGTTAAAGGTTTTCCAAAGACAGAACAAGAGAAGAAAAAATAGCCAACTGGGATAAGCTTTCTGTCTTTATATAAATTTAAGTCGTACAATGAGCCTTTATGGACTTCTCAGATCATTTTTAAAATGTTCCTTTAATCCCTAATTTCACTCCATAAAAGTAAACAGGTCTGGGACAGCTTCCGCATGGGGAGAATTACCTGTAAAAACTGCTGCGGCGGTTGAGCCAGCTGCGCCTGCGGCGGCTGCTGCACTGCAGGGAGTTGCTGTTCCTGGGAACTCTGCTGCTGCTGCTGCTGCTGCTGCTGTGGGACCGGCAGTGTCTGTGACTGCGGTGGTTGTGGAGCAAAGGTAGGGTAGGCAGTCACCACCTGACCCATGAGCATAGCGCTGGGCACCACGACCGCCCCGCAGGCTACAGGAGCAGTTACTAACTTGGTCACAAGCTGCTGACCTTGAGAAAATCTGTTAGGAGGAAAGAACGGGAAAGGGAGTCAGAAGTACAAGGTATACATTATGAAAGGTGGTGGGCTGAACATTTCTCTAAGATAATACCCATGATATTGCCAATGAACTGATAGGGTATAACTCTAAGATAATCCCCTTTTAATACTGCCATACTAAAAGCTGTACGTTCCAATTTTGTTTCATGTTTTTAAAGATTCCCTTTGGGATATCAGTGAAACAAAAGTGTGTAGAGCAAAATGAAGTGAACCCAAACAAAAATACAAAACTTTTTTCCGATATCCACATGCAAAAGAATGAAATTTGACCTTTACGTCATATATAAAAATTAACTCAAAATTGATTAAAGACCTAAACATAAATGTTGAAACCATGAAACTCTTGGAACAAAACATAGGGGGAAAGTTTCATGACACTGGATCGGGCAATAATTTCTTGGATATGACACTAAAAGCATAGACAACAAAAGAAAAAATAGATAAACTGTACAACAAAATTAAAAATGTTTATGTTTCAAAGGACACTATCAACACAGTGAAAGGGCACTCCACAGAGTGGGAGAAAATATTTGCAAATCATACATCTAATAAGGGGTTAATAACTAGAAAATATAAAGCAATCCTACAACGTAGCAACAAACACACACTCTGATTAAAAAATGGCCAAGAGTCTTGAATAGATATTTCTTCAAAGATGATATACAAATGGTCAATAAGCACTGAAAAGAGGTTCAACATCACTAATCATTAGGGAAATGCACATCAAAACCACTAGGAGATACCACTTCATATCCATTAGGATGGCTACTATCAAACAAAGTGTTGACAAGGGTGTGGAGAAATTGGAACCTTTGTGCACTGTTGGTGGGAATGTAAAGTGGTTCATCCACTATGGAAAACAGTATGGTGTTTTTTCAAATATATTAAAAATGTAACTACCATATGATCCAGCAATTCCAATTCTGAACTGAAAACAGGGACTCAAATAAATACTTGTACACCCATGTTCGTAGCAGCTATTCAAAACAGTCAAAAGATGGATACAACCCAAGTGTCCATCAGTAGATGAATGGATCAAGAAAATGTGATATATACATTACAATGGAATATTATTTAGCCTTAAAAAGGAAGGAAACGCTGACACATATTATAACATGGATGAACCTGGAGGACATCATGCCAAGTGAAATGAGCCAGTTAGAAAAGACATATATTATGTGATTCCATTTATATGCGGTATCTAGAGTAGTCAAAGTCACAGGCTTATGTGCTTAGAAAGTAGAATGGTGGTTCCCAGGAGCTAGGGGGACGAGAAGTGAGGAGTTACCGTCTGATGGATACAGATTTTCAGTTTGGGAAGAAGAAAATATTCTGGCGACTGAAGGTAGTGATTGTCACAATGGCGCGAATGCACTCATGTCAATGAACTGTACGTGTGAAAATGGTTAACACAGTAAGTATTATGTTATGTATATTCTACCACAATAAGAAAAAATTTAACCTGTTAAAAATATCAACTTTTTTCTTTTTATAAAATTACTAGGTACTTGGGAGGTAGGTATATGTGACACATGATTTTGCTAATGAAAATAAACTAATCAAAATAAAGCAGTCATAAGGGAATTTTTAAAAAACTCTCTAGGTTTACAGATGTTTACATTGCAAGCGGTATCTTATAAACATAATTCAAAACTAAATGACATCCTAACAGTACATAAAAATGCACTCAATTTATAAATTTATCAAGGAGCAGAGTACCCACCGTGTTACAATTCACTAATATTCCCTCCCACCCACCTTCCTTCTTCCACAGTCTTTAATAAAAGGACAACAACAAAAAACGATGCCTCTTCAGGGAACAATATTATTTCTATCTGCCTTTTCTGTGAGATGAAGTTAGTTTCCAACACTGGTCATCACGGTGAGGAAATTGAGACATGACTCTACCGTCGATTTAGCATGACACAGCTGCAATTACAAACTGTTCAAAGCACATAACTACGATTAAACTTAGCACATATACATACTTTATATGCTCCATAAGACAAAATAAATCTATTCTGAATCCATTCCAAATCTTAAAAGTAAAATACTGTATATTATATACTTCAGGACCAAACGCATTATTTAATGCAAAAACATATATAGTAAAAAATTTACCTATAAAGCAAGCACAAAGAAACAAATAACATTACAAAGTGGCTTAATCATAGAAATGCTAAGCACTAATTTCTCTGTAATCTAAAAAGTAATTCGTATCTGAATTGTCCAACTGCCCACTGGTAAACTATGAGACTACCTCATCCCTCTCTGGCACTAAAAGAGTCTGCAATCTACTTTGGCTTAACTTCTGTGGCTTTGTATACACTCCTACCTTTGCCTAGAACACCCTCCTGGACTCCCTGCCACATGCTTATCCAAAGCCAAGCTCTTTAAGACTCAGGTCAAGTATCTCCTCCCTGAAGCTTTCCCTGACCACACTCCTCTCTTCATCTGCTTGCCTCAACCCATAACACTGCTCACATCCTCCTTTCTAAAGACCTAGTAAGGATTTATCACATCAAACAATACTGATTATTTACCTTTCTATGGCTTTGACTAGTCTGATCTTTGTCCTGGGATAAAGAATGCGCCATACTCATCTAAGTAGGCACTCAAATGTCTGCTGAAGTATGTTTTTGCCCCTTCAAAAAACAGTTGTCTACAAACAATTGCTAAATTGTGTCCTCCCAAATGCATGTCAACATTCTACGTTAATGGATTTTCCCTCGGGCTTTAAATCTAGTCCTCTGTATTTCTGTGGAGCATATTCATAATACTTCCTTTCAGAAGTCAAAGCTGAAAGCTGGACTTTTTAACTTGAAGGAACTGAATTCCAAAGAGAAGAAATGAGTTTCTCTCTGCTCTTACTGCTTCTGCAATCCTGAAGCTTCTTTACTCTCTGGAAATTATTAATAGGACTTTAATAAAATCTATTACACAGTCTAATACAACAGTAAGGTTTTATTATAAAAGCAGCAGCCTACTTATATTGTACTAAAATTAGTAAAAAATAAAATGTATTTAAAATATCATTAAGACTAGAAATCCTATAGTTGTTGAAAGACTCCTTCCTAATATTCGAAAAGGGTATTTCTTCATAATATTTGTTTCTAAGTCAGCTATCTGGATGACTAAAATAAGTCACAGATGGCGGTTTTTCTAGAAGCGCCCACAGAACTTTAGCATAGTATATGTTAAAGCACATGAGCTTTGAAATCAGACACCCAGGCTTGAATTCAGATACCCTTCTTCACTCCCTAACAGCTATAGACCCTTGACCAAATTATTAAAAACTCACTTTATTCTTACCTGGGAAATAAAAGACCCTTTTTAAAAAATAAAAATTAAATGAGATAATATATTTTGAGCATGTAGTACAGTACTTAACACAAATCAAGAAAGGTGAGCTACTCTTACTCCATAACACATATAAACTATGGTAGCAAACACCCTAACCACTGTTACTACACTGACAACACACCAGCATCTGTACTGAAATGATAAAAGTTTTATAGTGATATAGACAAACCCTATTATAAAACTTGTGTAACAGTGTGCTGTAGAATTTGGATTCTACAATATTTATTAGCACATTTCTGAACAAAACAAAACTTGTTGTTACTCTTTTATTATAAAGTCCGTAAACAATGGATACATTCTGTGTTTTTATTTCAAATTCAAGAGTTAGCAACAAATTAAAATCACGTTTTTAAAGATCAAAGTGTTGTTGTTGTTGTTTTTTGTGGTACGCGGGCCTCTCCCATTGTGGAGCACAGGCTCCGGACGCACAGGCTCAGCGGCCATGGCTCACGGGCCCAGCCGCTTCGCAGCATGTGGGATCTTCCCGGACCGGGGCACAAACCCGTGTCCCCTGCATTGGCAGGCGGACTCTCAACCACTGCGCCACCAGGGAAGCCGCAAAGTATTGCTTTTTAATCAAACAATTTACATCTTTGAAATGACTAACGAAATATGACCACTACCTTATCTGTCTGTCCTGAGTGAATGTAGTTACTGCAGCACTCTGGGAACTGTTCTGTGGCATACTAGATGGAATCTGGACCATGCTTCCGGCCGTCGGCTGAGAAATCACCATAGTGTTGTACAGTGGGGCTGTAAGAGTGCTCTGTGTCTGACTGGGAGGAGATGTTTGCTGACTGTGCCCGCTCAGTACATTCTGTTGATTCTGCTAGGAAAGAGAAGATTTTACAGATAGATCATCTGAAAAAAATTTATTCAGGAAGTATGATTCTATTACTCATCATTCTAACAATAGCTGACATGACAGAAAAAGAAGTGGCAGAACATATTACTCTGGGAGAAATCAAGGAATAACTTGTAGTCATTGAGAATGAATTAGCCTTCAGTATCTTGCTGGAAGGTAAGCTATGACTTTTGAAAAGGAGCATGATCTTAACAGGGATGATATGAAATATACATGAAGAATTTCTTCAAACACCCAAAGTAGGTGACTGACATTACACATTTTTATATATTTCATTTGAAGTCTTGAGATTTATAATCACAGATGCACACCAATTACCAAAATTTCCTAGAATGTTGATTAAGCCATCACTGCCCTAACAATACAGTCTTCACCTATAGTAACATATGTCCTAGTCAGACACTTGCAAGTCAAAGTCTTTTTTTTGTTAACACACAGAACTAGTCCGTATGTTCATTTTAAGCAAACTGCAAAATTTTTACATGTCAAAATACTGAAAGCATTCAATGTTCAACAATTAAGAACAATTTTGCTCAAAATATTTTAATTATCACTCTCAATACTATAGTTTCTATTACTAGTAAAGTTTTAAATATGGTAATGTTCAAGATGAAGCTTTATTCTTGTTTTAGCAACACCATACATTTCAATCACTGAACACTCCACAGCCCACTGTACTCGATAACGTTACCTGACTTGATGTACTTTGTAAAGTCTGCTGTTGTATCATGTGCTGAGTTGTGCCAATGTGTCCAGTATTCATTCCACTTTGAATTTGGTTAGTCTGAACAACCTGGCTTTGCATATTTATAGGTGCAAGCTGCTGGATATTAGATGAATTTCCAGAAGAAAGTTGAACAGAACCAAAATTCAATCCAGGGGTTGACTGTTGTAAAAACATCTTTAAAAATAAAGATTACATTGAAATGATCTTTCTAAGTTAAAAAGAATGAGAGCATTAAAAAAAAAACAGCTAAAAATTAAGTTTAAAACGCAAGTAACAAGAAGACTAAGTCATTCTGAATGAACACTGAGCAAAAAATAATTGCTGAATAAAACATGATACTCATTTTCATTCTTCCAGTCACCCTAACCCTATCATGTTTCTAATTGTCAGAAAAAGCGTTATAAATTTCAAAACCTCCACTTGTTTGACATTTTTACATGTTGGGGATTATTATATCAGCTAGCGTTACCCTAACTCAGAGCTGCTCAAAGGTCTGTGGACTGGCAGCTCTGCATCACTTACCATTTATAATTCACGGCATTAGACAGAAGTAGCCTTCACTTAAAGTTTCCTTTGACCAAAGTCCTAGTCTCCTTGGATAGACATAACTTTAGAGTGGCCTTGTTGGTTGACCAAATGAGACTAATTTGAATCCCACCTACTAGTATGTTTTTTAAAAAATGACTGATGATTGAGTCATAAATTCTGTACCTACATGTAAAGTATTTTGATGTTATGGGTTTAAAGCTTACTAAACATTAGCCTGCTAAAAGATGACTCTAATCTGGAGAAACAAAGACGCTGGTGGAAACACTCTTAGGAATGAATCATCTTTAGAGACTGTTAATACAATCCTATTGAGTAAATAACCAATGAGTATTTATTGAACTAAACTGAGGAAATGTATCTTTTGCATCTCACTTTTAATTAAGAAAAGTCAATTTCCTAAGAAGCCAAAATGCAAATAGCATGCTTTGCTTGAATTCAAATGTAATAACTTACCTGAAGCCCTTGACCATGGACCATTTGAAGCTGCTCTTGAATTTTTCTTAGTTCTTCTTGTTGCCGATGAATGTTTGCCTCTATCATCCGAGTCCGTTGCTCCAACTGGTCTTTCAGATGCTGCATGGCTCCTAACTGAGCTGAGAACTGAAACTTAAGTATTGTGGACAGAAAAAGTGTAACATAGTTTACAATCACTTCTCATAACTGTAAAATGTGAAACACAAGCAGTACATCATGAGCTAAGAGTGTTACGCCAGTTATGAATGTATCGCCTCTCAACTCCTAATTCACCTGTCTTTGCTCGGCTTTGTGATACTGGAGCTGGACCCTACAAATGTATCTCCGTAGTCAGCAGGCACAAGCAGTCCTGTCAGTGACGATGCTGGAGGGATACTGCAAAGTGAGGTGCCTATCTTTCTGGTTCTGGTGCTTTTCCTTCTTGTTTTTATGCCAATGGGTAGCATCCTAGTGAGTGTCATCAGCGCTCCAGCAGGTGGCTTTCCTGCAAGTCTCCCTGGCATCCTAGTGGGCAGCTTCCCAGCAAATGTTACTGGTACCCCAGCAAGTGGCTTCTTGCTCTCCAGCCCTAGTCTGTGGCACCTCCGTGAATGTGTGGACCATCCAGTGGCTACAACCACACCTGCCTAATGGGATCTGAGTCTCAGCCTGGCCTGGAAGAGCAGGAGTTCAGGAGCGTCGAGGGGGTCTTCCAAGTTGCTCCCCCTTGGCTACTCTCCCTTTCACTTACATTTAGTGGCTGCTCTCTACACCTGTTTTTCCTGTATTCTTTTGAATTCTCTTAACTGCTTTCAGTGGTTAATCCCTGTTACCAGTAATTTGTTATACTACCCCTGTTCAAATTTCTGGTCTAGCTTCTGACTAGATCTTGACTGATTACAAGATGAATTAATAACACTGGCTTTAGAAGACCTAGGTTCCTATTGCGGCACTACCACTGAACTTCATTTCTACTCTTTAACAACTGAAAAAGTAGCCTGCACCTAGAGTTGTTCACATCAAACTGTCATCCCTAGACTGTGCTCTTTGTGCATTAGAAAGTTATAAAAATCTGACATTAGAAAGTTGTAAAAGTCTGACAGATAACCAACCATGTAATTGTTCTCAGACAAGTACAAAACCTAGGCTTTTAAAGACTAAGCGATTATAAATGAATGCATGCATACATGAATGGAAGCATAGATATTCTACCTACAGAGTAAATAAGGTTTTCAATCTTACTTATTTCTCTGTTTCACCTGAGTTACAGGCAGCTTCTATTTACTACTGCTTGAAACTTAGTCACATTTGTTGATTCACCACTTAAGCTCGTTTACTTAATTCCAGGAATATTCTGCACAGAATACAGTGTAAGAGCAGAAAGAATTTCACTGTATTGGAAATCTGTCTTAATCTTAAAATAGTCTCCTACAATTCATGTAAAAGTGAGAAATGCCCCCCAAAAGCTTTTCTACTCTATCTTCAAAAGTTTGTATTGAGAACACTGAATATTACTTTTCAAAGTACACAACTCTGACTTCTGAAGTTGACAATACCAGATCAAATCATACATTAGATTACACTAGGTGTGAGAAAACATTACAAGTTTAATACCCTCATGCCTTAATTTTTCATTATTTGAAATTTTATATTTATGTCATACAAATATATTTTATCCGAACTAAAGTTATTTATACCTTTAGGTAAGCATTACATTGTCACCACTTAAAGGATTTCTATTAAATACAAATACGAAAATAAAAATAAACACAGAAAGCAGAATAATGGGAAATAAAATCACAGAACTAAGAGGCAGAGTGCTTGGCTTTATCACTGAATGAAATACGAGATTCGAATACTTATTAACATTTTTGACATAGTCGATACTATTTATTTCATGAAAATATTCCTTTACAATGTTAAGAAATGTTTATTCAGTATCTTGAGATTAATGAACTAATAATATTGAAAATATGTCAAATATTTACATAAAAATTCTGTTACCCTTCAGAATAAAAAGCTTTTGAGGACTCAGTGCTGATAAAAACTACTGCAACTCCAGATACTATTTAATAATACAGTGCTGTTATAAATACCTTACACAATTATATGTTGCTAAAAGTCAAGATTATGACATTTAGGTAATTTATAGCACTGCCAATATATTTGTACAAGTGTCATAATATATAATAGCTATAGTTATATATATATATATATATATAATTTAAATAACCACATATGATAAGGGTATTTTTAGAAAAACATTGTTTTTACCTATTGCTAACTATCATTATTTGAAATTAAGATACTGTTAAGATATCTTTAACACCAAACAGAACAGAAACTTTTGGATTATTTTTAGCACAACTTAGTAGTATTTTTAACGTGTCTGAGGCACTGAATGAGTGCAGTCATAAATTACAAGTTGCGAAGTTATAATCAAAAGTGTCACTTTTGCAATATCTCTCCTTTGTCTTGCTAGTTTTTGTATTTAAGCCTCCTCTGGGACTCAGTCCAAGTAACAATTCTTCCAGGAAGTTCTGTTTCACTTCCTCAGGCTGCATTAAGGGTCCATCTAATGTGCTCACATATCAAGACTTCAGACCCTGAGCATAGACTATAGTACATTGTATTGTAGTTAACTGTCCTTCCCTCTAGATGTAATAAAGTCTCTTAGTACAGATATATTTACTGCCAGCACCTGCAATATCTGATAATACAAGGAACTCAATAAATGTCCTGTATATAAACAAATGGATGAATATATGAATAAAATTACTCAATTCTTCCACTATCCATAAGAAGAACAAAATGAACAGCTACATTTCATCTTTAATATCTTTCTGTCTATACTGTTTCTCAATAGGGGTTAAACAGGATAGTTTTTTGTTGTGCAAAACTGTCACACACCCTAAAAGACAATTAGCACCCCTGGTCCTTGCTGACTAAAGGGCCAGTGGTACCCCAATATCACTGACAATCAAAAAATCCCCAGATATTCTAAATGCCCACAGCTGAGATTTACTGCCCTGTAAGTATGTACTTTTAAAAATCTCTAGTAGCTTAAAAACAATTTATAATTTTAAAATACTTAACTGAAACAAACAGAAATACCTGGGACATGCCTTGTGGAACTGGTAAATTTGCAGCTTGAGACATCACTGGCTGTGTTAATGACTGACCAACAGACTGGGAATTTATGGACTAGAAGCAAAATAGACAATAACACTGGGGTGACAATCATTCCCATAAATGAGTACTTCCACCAGAAATATCACCATGGCATCTTTATAACTGAATTACAATTAGCCTCATACTTTTTTAGCTGAGTATAGGCATGTCTTCCCCCTCTAAACTGGAAATGCCTATTCCCTATTTATCTTTTTGTCTTTCAAGGCACCTGCCACATTACCTTGCATGGGCTCCCAATAAAAGCTGGCTGGACTTTACTGAAAGTGATTGGTATTTGAAATTAGATATAAAACGGCTCTAAATTATCAGTCTTCCATAATTGAAAAAAAAAAATCTAACAGTTTACCTGAAAAATAATCAAAAGGACTGGTATGTTTGACAACTACTCCACAGAAAAATAACGATCTTGAGTAAGTGTTATGTATAAACAACTATTTTGAATTTCATAGAAAGGGATAATAAATAAATGAATTTCTGAAGATTTAGATGATGTTTTTTTCCCCTTTAATAAATCTTTATTCAGAAGAATACTACCTGTAGAGTTTACCTGACTACTAAATGATGACCTCCTTTGTGCCATCTTTTCATGAGCTGGTAAATGCTGTCTGGGAGGAGTGCTAGTATCCGTTGGGATCTTTGTAGGTGTAGCTAAGGTTGGTCAACAAAAACAGAATAGCATTAGTACTTTATAAAATATAATTTTCAAAGATCAATCTCAAAACGCATTTCAGTGAATAAAAGTGGTTTTTGAGTTATTTTTCTAAATTATTCAATAAAAGTGAAGTCTATGACAACAAGATGATTCCTTTTAATCACTTCTTTTTTAAGGACAAAGAAAATATCTGAAATAGGAAAACTTCAAATATAAAAATGGTTACTACTCCTATAACTCAATAGTAAAAAAAACCAATAACTCAATTAAAAAATGGCCTAAGGACTTACACAGATATTTATCCAAAAAAGACACAGAGATGGCCAGCCGATATATGAAATAATATTCAACGTCACTAATCAGGGAAATGCAAATCAAAACCACAATGAGATATCACCTCTACCTGTCAGGATGGCTATTATCAAAAATATCACACTGTAAATCAACTATACTTCAATTAAAAAAAAAACAGCTTATAAACTGTTCAAAAAACAAAATCTGAAGACAAGTGTTGGTAAGAACGTGGAGAAACTGGAACCCTTGCACACCGTTGGTGGGGATGGGAAATGTTGCAGACACCGTAGAAACAGTATGGATGCTTCTCAAAAAAATTAAAATTAGAACTACCATATATGATCTAAAAATCCCACTTCTGGGTATTTATGCAAAAGAATTGAGATCAGCATCTCAAAGAGATACTAGCATTCCAACATTCACTGCAGCACTATTCATAATAGCCAAGGTATGGAAACAATCTAAATGTCTATTGACAGATGAATGGATTAACAAAATGTGGTGTATACATACAGTGAAATACTACTATTCAACCTGGAAAAGGAAAGACATTCTGCAACTTGTGACTTGGATGAAGCTTGAGGCCATTATGCTAAGTGAAATAAGCCAGTGACAGAAAAAGACAAGTACTGCATGACTCCATTATATGAGGTATCTGAAATAGGCAAATTCATTGAATCAAAGAGCACAATGGTGACTGCCAATGGCCAGGAGGCAGGGAATGGGGAATTATTAATTAATGGGCATAAAGTTTCAGATAAGCACAATGAATAAGCTCTAGATCTGCAGTACAACGTCATACCTACAGTCAACAATAATGTACTGTACACTTAAAAATTTAAGAGGGTAGATCTCATTTTAGGTGTTCTTACCACAGTAAAATAATTTGTTTTTTAAAAGGAAGAAATAGCTATAATAGGGAAAAATTTTTTTTCTATGATCTCAGAAATTTCTATATTTAACCTCTTTTGATGTTCTACCCACCATGTTGAGTAGTTCAGACAACCCCCTTTTTCATTATATATAGTTTTAATACTGAGAAACAAAGGTGCTAGACTCTTTTTAAAAAATTAAGAAGGACATTAATTTAATGACAATTATGTAAGTCTTCATAAAGACAAGATACACACAAAGCACCTTCAAAAAGCAAACTCAAAGAACACTACTTACTGGCTCTACCAATAAAAAAGGAATTACTGTAATAGTTTTGCTTTCTTTTTGAGGGATGATTAAAAAATAACAAGACCAATATTACTACCTACATATTTTATAGGCTACTTTATACACTTAACTCTTTGCTAGATGTGAGCAATGTGCCTCTTGCTCACTGAAAAGGCTAGTGTATTTCAGAAATGTAAACACTTATCATTTGAAAGTGGCAGTCGATGAAAAATGCTGATACCGGCAACATAAACAATTTAGAAGGACTCTCTTTAAAGGAAGTCTGCTTTCAAGCTAGGGTACTCACAGGAAGGGTCTGAGACTGCAGTATGAGATGATTTTCTTGAACTCCGGGAGGAAGCAGAAGGAGTTGGGCTGTGATCAAACCTTTCCAATGCTTCCTTGAGACTGACTGTATTTATACGATTATCAGACCCAGAATCTTGGCTCTAAGGAGACAAGAGTAAAATAAATGTTTTCTTGTGGTTCAGTTCAGAGTTCCCAAATTAGCAATACTTCTTGCTAATTCCTCCTCCCCAAAATCAGTTTTTACCCCATAACAAGGGAAGTGTACCTGTGTAATATTAGGTAAAGAAATGAAAAAAAATTTTAATAGCCAGAAAGTTTTGGTTTCATTCTCTATTTAAAGAAACAACAGATGCAAAGGAATGAAGCTGGACTCTTACCTTATACCATATATAAAAGTTAACTCAAAGCGGATCAAAGATCTAAATGTTGAGAACTAAAACTATAAAACTTTTAGGAAAAAAAAAGGGAAAAGCTTCATAACATTCGATTGGGCAATGATTTCTTGGATATGACACTAAAAGCACAGGCAACAGAAGTGTATCAAAGGACACTATAAACAAAGTGGAAAAGCACCATGGAATGGGAGAAAACATTTGTAAGTCATTTATTTGATAAGGAATTAATACCCAGAATATATAGAGAGCTCCTACCACTCAACAGCAAAAAAAAAAAAAAACAAAAACAAACAAACAAAAAAACCAAAAAACAAAACCCAAAAATACCTGCCACAAAAAATCCAGTTAAAAAATGGGCAAGTCTTGCAGAGACATTTCTCCAAAGAAGATATATAAGCAGCAAACACATGAAAAGATGCTTAATATCACTAATCATTAGGGAAATGCAAATCAAAACCAAGAAATACCACTTCAATCAAGATGGCTATTATAAAAAAAACTAGAAAATAACCAGTGTTGGTGAGGATATGAAGAAACTGGAACCCTTGTGCAGTGCTGACAGGAATGTATAAAATAAAACAGTGCAGCTACTATGGAAAACCGTAATAACAGCTCCTGAAAAAATTAAATATAGAATTACCATATGATCCAGAAATTTCATTTCTGGGTATATCCTCAAAAGAATTGAAAGCAGGTACTCAAACACATATTTGTACAGCCATGTTCATAGCAGCATTAGTCACAATAGCCAAAAGATGGATGCAACTCAAGTGTCCATTGATGGATGAATGAATAAACATAATGTGGTATATACATACAATGGAATATTACTCAGCCTTTAAAAGGAAATGCTGACACATGCTACAATATGGATGAACCTTGAGGACATTATGCCAAGTGAAATAAGCCAGTCACATATAGACAAATTCTGTATGATTCCACTTACATGAGGTACCTATAGGAATCAAATTCACAGAGTCAGAAGTAGATTGGTGGCTGCCAGGGGCTGGAGGGAGGAGGGAATGGGGAGTTACTGTTTAATGGGTATGGAGTTTCACTTTGGAAAGATGAAAAAGTTTTGGTGATAGATGGTGGCGATGCTTGCACAACAGTGTGAATGTACTTAATACCACTCAACTATATACTTAAAATAGGTTAAGATGGTAAATTTTGTTACATATATTTCACATCAGAAAAAAGAAAAAGTGAAAAAAAAAAACCCAACAGAATTAAGATGACACTTAAGTTTACAGACAAGGCACTAAAAGCATCTTTGGAACTCCGCATTTGACTGCTCAAAATCTTCTTCACACCAACTCTGACCTTTCTCCAGAATTCAATATCCATATTGGTGATTCATCTAATATCCTGTCCTGGCCTCTCAGCTTTCTAGGAACTCCTCGTCTCCAAGAAACTTTTTCCTCTACTCTACCGCGTTCAATCTCTACTCCTTGTCATTACCAGATACTCTAGCACCTCTAAGAACACAAATTAAAATCTAACTTTAAACCATCCCTGTCCTACCTAGCCTTCCAGCTCACTTGTTCCTTTGGAGACAATTATAGTCAACCTAAAATGACCGCCAACCTAAAAAAGATACTCAACACTAAGCAGAAACATTAAGTTTTCTAGTGGGCTCATCTTCCTACTCTTCACAATTACTCCATATCTTTCCCATTGTTCCTAAGCTTCTTTCTCCCTCTCTCAACTGATAGCTTTGTCTTATATCGATGAGAATACTTGCCACCACCAAATATGTAACTCTACCTATTAACATACCAGGTATATGAACATAACCATCTTCTCTTTCCTCCTCCTTATAATGGAGGGAAGTAGGTCCTTGTTGAATATCTATTTTATACATAGTAGTCTGCATATGTTAACCTCAGCATCCTAATTTACCCCTCCCATCCACCTTTCCCCTTTGGTAACCACAAGTCCGTTCTCTGAGAGTCTGCTTCTGTTTTGTAAATAAGTTCATTTGTATCATTCTTTAGATTCCACATATGAGAGATATCATATTTGTCTTTCTCTGTCTGACTTACTTCATTCAGTATGATAATCTCTAGGTCCATCCATGTTGCTGTAAATGGCATTATTTAGTTATTTTTTATGGCTAATATTCCATTATGCATACATACCACATCTTCTTTATCCATTCTTCTGTTGATGGACACTTAGGTTGGTTCCATGTTCTGGCTATTGTAAATAGCACTGCAATGAACATTGTGGTGCATGTATCTTTTCGAATTATGGTTTTCTCCATATATATGCCCAGGAGTGGGATTGGTGGATTATATGGTAATTCTATTTTTAGTTTTTTAAGGAACCTCCATACTGTTCTCCATAGTGGCTGTACCAGCTTACATTCCCACCAAAAGTGTAGGAGGGTTCCCTTTTCTCCATACTCACTCCAGCATTTATCATTTGTAGACTTTTTGATGATGGCCATTCTGACCCATGTGAGGTGATACCTCACTGTAGTTTTGATTTGCATTTCTCTAATAAGTAGCGATGTTGAGCATCTTTTCATGTGCCTATTGGCCATCCGCATGTCTTCTTTGGAGAAATGTCTATTTAGATCTTCTGCCCATTTTTTTGGTTGAGCTGTTTGTTTGTTTTTTGGTATTGAGCTGCATGAGCTATCTGTATATTTTGGAGATTAATCCCTTGTTGGTTGCATCATTTGCAAATATTTTCTCCCATTCTGTGGGTTGCCTTTTCATTTTGTTTATGGTTTTGTTTGCTGTGCAAAAGCTTTTATGTTTAATTAGGTCCCATTTGTTTATTTTTATTTTCATTACTCTAGAAGGTGGATCCAAAGATATTGCTGTGATTGATGTCAAAGAGTGTTCTGCCTATGTTTTCCTCTAAGAGTCTTATGGTATCCATTCTTACATTTAGGTTTTTAATCCATTTTGAGTTTATTTTTGTGTATGTTGTTAGAGAATGTTCTAATTTCATTCTTTTACATGTGGCTGTCCAGTTTTCCCAGCACCACTTATTAAAGAAACTGTCTTTTCTCCATTGTATATTCTTGCCTTCTTTGTCATAGATTAATTGACCATAGGTGTGTGGGTTTATTTCTGGGCTTTCTATCCTGTTCCACTGATCCGTAAGTCTGTTTTTGTGCCAGTACCTTACTGTTTTGATGACTGTAGCTTTATAGTATAGTCTGAAGCCAGGGAGACTGATTCTTCCAGCTCCATTTTTCATCTCAAGATTGCTTTGGGGGCTTCTCTGGTGGCTCAGTGGTTAAGAATCTGCCTGCCAATGCAGGACACATGGGTTCGAGCCCTGGTCCGGGAAGAGCCCACATGCCATGGAGCTACTAAGCCCGTGTGCCACAACTACTGAGCCTGTGCTCTAGAGCCTCCAAGCTGCAACTACTGAGCCCGCACGCCACAACTACTGAAGCCTGAGCACCTAGAGACCGTGCTCCGCAACAAAAGAAGCCACCACAATGAGAAGCCTGCACACAGCAACGAAGAGTAGCCCCAGCTCACCGCAACTAGAGAAAGCCCACGCACAGCAACGAAGACCTGATGCAGCCATAAATAAATAAATAAATTAATTAAAAAAAAAGATTGCTTTGGCTATTTGGGGTTTTTTGTGCTTCCATACAAATTTTAAGATATTTTGTTCTAGATCTGCAAAAAATGCCATTGGTAATTTGATAGGGATTGCATTGCAATCTGTAGATTGCCTTGGGTAGTACAGTCATTTTGACAATATCAATTCTTCCAATGCAAGAACATGGTTTATCTTCCCATCCATTGGTGTCATCTTCAATTTCTTTCTTCAGCATCTTATAGTTTTCAGAGCACAGGTCTTTTGCCTCCTTAGGTAGGTCTATTTCTAGGTATTTTATTCTTTTTGATGCGATGGTAAATGGAATTGTTTCCTTAATTTATCTTTCTGGTCTTTCGTTGTTGGTGTATAGAAATGCAACAGATTTCCGTGTATTAATTTTGTATCCTGCAACTTTACCGAATTCATTGATGAGCTCTAGTAGTTTTCTGGGAACATCTTTAGGATTTGCTATGTATAGAATCACGTCATTTGCAAACAGTGACAGTTTTACTTCTTCTTTTACAATTTGGATTCCTTTTATTTCTTTTTCTTCTCTGACTGCTGTGGCTAGGACTTCCAAAACTATGTTGAATAAAAGTGGTGAGAGTGGACATCCTTGTCTTGTTCCTGATCTTAGAGGAAATGCTTTCAGCTTTTCTCCTGCTGAGTATGATGTTAGATGTTGCCCTCACTGATTCTTAATTCCTAGGTTACCAACATTCACATATTTGACACCATGACTTCTCTATTCCTTGATGAAGACCTTGACATCCACTTGTCCTCAGTCACTTATTCTTATAGTTAAACCCTAGACCTTGTCATAATCAATAAAAATAAGCATTCCATAACCTCAGTTTCAAACATCCTACTCTTTAACCACCTTTCCCCCTGTTTCTTCCTCATTCCCTTTAGTATCCCAACTCCAATAATCCTTCAGTGGAACCTAAAATACATCAATTCTACCACATTTTCATAATCACTCTTGTTTTCTCTTCCCTCTTTAACCAGCTTAAAATCATGGTTAATCATCACAAACACACCCTTGAATGTATCATCAACTCCCTTGCCCGTATCTCCCTTCACCATACTCCCTTAGGAAAATACCAGTGCTGGTGAAACCCAATTATTAACCTATTCCACATCTGTTCCTGCACAGCTGAACATGGCTGAAGAAACACACATGCTAACCGTTGTTCTCTCTTTAAATAAGTGACCAAGACCCTCAATAAGCCCTTAATCCTGCCTGCCAAACAGACTAAAATTCCCTTGTCTATTCACTTTCTCACTCTCCTAGAAAACTATTCAACACTTTTCCCTCTTTTCAAACCCCAAACTCCACTTCCTATTTCACTGTAGAGAAATGCCACAGCTCCACTACTATATCAACCTTCCTACCAGCATACATACTCACATATTCTACCCTTCTTCATGTTACTGTAATTCAGGGATCAGCACACTTTTCTGTAAGGGTCAGAGAGTCAATATTTTAGGCTTTGTGGGCCACATAGTCTCTATCACAACAATTCAACTGTTGTAGTACAAAAGCAGCCATATGCAATGTACGACTGAGTGTGGCTGTGAAATCTGATGATATAATCTTTGTGTGTCACAAAACATTATTTTTTTTTCAATCACTTAAAAACATGTAAAAAACATATTTGTAGCTTGTGGGTGTTACAAACCAAGGCAGAGGGCCAGATCAAGCCGAACGGCCATAGTTTCCCAACCCCTTCTGTAGCTGAAATCATCTGCTCCTCTATCTAGCTAAGCCTAATCCATTCACTTGTCCACTAGATCCCATCTTCTTTCACCTACTCAAGAACACTGCTCTAGCATTTCTACCGCTCTCTCTCCTATCACCAATTTTTCTCTCTCCTTCAGACCATTCTTGTCCATATACAAATATGCTATTATTTCTCCCACCTTAAAAAGCAAAAGCTTCTTCTTAGCCCAGTGCTTCCTATTATTGCCAGATCTCTCTCCTCTTTGTAGTAAAACCCTTCCCTACTTACCATCTCTAATTCCCCTTGTCTCAGAAAATTCTCTTCTAAACCCACTCTAATCAAGCTTTCCCTCATATTACTATTCCACCTGGTCTGTTCTTACTGATCAATGAATACATGTTATTGAACTGAATGGTCAATTCTCAGTACTCATCTAATTTAACTTATTTCAGCAGAACCTGACAAAGCTGACTGTTCACTCCTCACTGACACGCTCGCTTTCTTTTCTTGGCTTTTAGGACAACTTAGCTTCCTGGTATTATTCCTACTTCAGTGGATATTTCTCCTTGGTCTCCTGTGATTGGTTCTTCCTTGACCCCTTCACGTCTTAACGTTGAGTGCCCCAGTGCTTAGTGCCTGGTCATCTTCTCTCTACACTCATTCCCTTGGTGATCATGTTTAGATTCCTGACTAAAACCATCCACACATGGACATTTCTGAAAAATATATCTCAAGTGGACCTCTTCCCTAAACTCAGGAGGATCATGGTGGTAACATTAATGTGGGGAGAAAGTAGACATCGTTGGAGTATATTTTGTAAGTAGGGCTAGCTGAATTTCCTAGGATTGGACATGGGCATGAGGGGAAAAAAAGAAGTAAAGAGAACAATCTCTGTATGTATTACTCTGGTTTCTATGATAGTCCTTATTTCAAGGAACTCTAGATTTAAGCACTTTCCTCAGAAAATTTCCTTCACTAAAAACATGCTGGATTTTCCTCCCCTAAGCAGACAGAGCCTCTTTGGAAAAATTCTTTCATATGGGACCCATGAGAGCAGCAGCCATATTCTCAGCAGCTAGAGCGATGTCCAGTACTTCCTGGCACAGGGAAGGCACTCTTCTTTTTTTTTGTTTGTTTTTGTTTTTGCGGTACGTGGGCCTCTCACTGTTGTGGCCTCTCCCGTTGCGGAGCACAGGCTCCGGACGCGCAGGCTCAGCTTCCATGGCTCACGGGCCCAGCCGCCCCGCGGCATGCGGGATCTTCCCGGACCGGGGCATGAACCCGTGTCCCCTGCAACAGCAGGCGGACTCTCAACCACTGCGCCACCAGGGAAGCCCGGCACTCTTCTTTTTTAACTGAAGTATGGCTGATGCACAATATTGTTAGTTTCAGGTGTACAACATAGCGATTCAACATTTAAATATGAATATCATGGTAAGTCTGGTACCCATCTGTCCCCATACAAAGCTATTACAGTTTTATTAACCATATTCCTACGTGACTTACTTATTTTACAACTGGAAGTCTGTACCTCTTAATCCCATTCACCTATTTTGCCCCCGCCCCCCCCCCCCCCCCCCCGCCCCACTCTGGAAACCACCAGTTTGTTCTCTGTATCTATGGGTCTGTTTTGTTTGTTCATTTGTTTTGTTTTTTAAATTCTATGTATAAGTGAGATCAGTTGTCTTTCTCTGACTTATTTCACTTAGCATAATGCCCTCAAGATCCATCCATATTGCTGCAAATAGCAAGATTTCGTTTTTTGACAGCTGCAAAGTATTCCACTGTATATATGTACCACATTTTTACTTAGGTTGCTTCTGTATCTTGGTTATTGTAATTAATCCTGCCATGAACATGGGTGCATAAATCTTTTCGACTGTTTTTGTTTTCTCCAGGTAAATACTCAGAAGTGAAACTGATAGGTCGTCCTATTTTTAATTTTTTGAAGAACCTCCATACTGTTTTCCACAGTGGCTACACCAACTTACAATCTCACCAACAGTGCATGAGGGCTCTCTTTTCTGCACATCCTCGCCAGCACTTGTTGTTTGTTGTCTTTTTGATAACAGCCATTTTGACAGGTAGGAGGTGATACCTTATTGTGGTTTTGATTTGCATTTCCCTGATGATTAGAAAGGTGTTGAGCATCTTTTCACGTGTCTGGTGGGAAAATGTCTATTCAGGTTGTCTTCCCATTTTTTAATCGGACTTCTTTTTTGTTACTGAGTCCTATGAGTTCTCTATATATTTCGGATATTAACCCCTTATTGGATATATCATCTGCAAATATCTTCTCCCATTCGGTAGATTTCCTTTTCATTTCGTTGATGGTTTTCTTCACTGTGCATGGAAGGTACTTAATAAAGTTTGTTGAATGACTGAATGACATCCTCCCATTCTGTCCCCTGGCATGCTGCCTATTTTAACTCATTTTTTAATATACATTCTTGACCTTTTCATTCCACTTATTTTTCTACAGGTCAAAAATACTTGTTGTAGGCAACTTCTGATATGGCTCATAATGATTCCTACCTTCAGGTATTCATAACCTTGTATAATCCCTCCCCCCTTTACTGTAGGCTGGACCTAGTGGCTTACTTCTAATGAACAGAACAGACAGAAGTGATGGGATATCACTTCTGTGATTAGGTTACAAAAGACTGACTTTAATCTTGCTGGATTTTTCTCTCCCTAGATCTTCTTGCATACTTGTTCTGATAGAAAGGGCCACCTGGAAAGGAGCTGAGGATTGCCTCTGGCCATCAGCCAGCAAGGCACCAAGGCCCTCAGTCTAACTGCCCATTAGGAACCCAATCCTTCCAACAACCACTAAGTGAGCTTGGAAACAGATTCTGCCAGGGTTGAACCTTGAGATGACTGTGGCCCCCAGTGACGCCATGATTACAGACTTGTGAGAGACCCTGGGCTGAAACGTTGTGCCTCATGACCAATTCTGAAGCAGAGGGCCCAACTAAACTGTGTCTGGATTCCTGACTCACAGAAACTATCAGATAATATACGTGTGTTATTTTACATCATTAAGTTGTGTTACACAGCAATAGGTAGCTAATATACTACACTCCTACCTGATACAATGAAAAGAGAAACCAGAGTTCAAAATCTGACTGTAACTTGCCAGGCATGAGTCTTTAAGCTCAGTTTTAATATTTTCAAAGCGGGGATATCACCTACTCAGATAAGGATGTCTGAGAAATAAATGACATTTTGTAATTTATATAAAAACCTAGCCAGAGCCTAGCACACTGTAACAAATGTTAGTTTAAATCTGAGATCATACATGTCTCTCATACAGTTGTCACTAAATAGCAGCCCTTCAAATCTTTTTTAGAAGCACACAAGGTTGTAAGACATTAAATTTAATATAAAAATAAATAGTAAAGCATAGTTATAACCCTGTCACGAGTAAGGAAATGAAATATTTGTTGAGTCTTGTCTTTCACTGGGAAGAAATAAAAATAATTTAAAAAAACTGTAGGATAACATACTTTGTCAGCAGCTGTCTCTGGAAGAGACTCTTCAATGCCAAGTTCTCGTCGTCTTTCAGCCCTAACTTCTGCATAACTATAAATGGTAAAAAACAGAATTTCAGTGTTTGATCATTCATTTAAAATACTGCAGAGGTGCAACCATTCAGTGTTTGTTATGTGTCTTACTTGTTCATCACAAATTCCAGACTATTTTCTATGCACCACAGAAACCTAAAACATATACATACAGTGTACATCTTAGTTCAAATTCCATTTTTCTACATATCTCAAAAGCTTTATGTGCTACTGTAAAGGATCCATAACCACACAGAACTTAAATTAAGAGGAATTAAATAAGGGAAGAGCATGCTTTATCTACTCCAGTTCTCCTTTCACATGACTGACTGTGGTACATAAAAGACAGTTACAACATCTGCTCTAAACCATAAAATCTATGTCAAGAATAATATATTTCTACATATCTGTACTGTATTTCTTTCTATATAATGCCTATAAGTAAATGTAATAATAAATTGAAATATATATCAAAAATGGTGAAAAAAATCACTTTGTACTTCATTAATAAGTTATACATAAAATTACATTCCAGAATCATTATGGATGTTTCTATATTCAGAAATTGTGTAAAAGGAATTATTACCTTACTACGGTGTGAGTACAAACAATGAACTCTGGTCTTGAATTCCACTGATGATAAGTGATATAATAATGAGTTTGAAGCCAAATCCACTGTTGTCCTTTGGTCAGGAACCTATAGTAACATGATTTGCCTTTCCCGTATTGCATTACTAAGAAGAAAAGAAATATGTTTTGATTCATATTATTAGATTTTTAGCCAAAGGTATCACCCACATTTATATCTATATATATAATTCTTCTTCTGGCTTTTCAATAACATATAGTACATCAATTATAAGAAAATGCTATTCTGTAGAGATAGCAATTAGCATACCTTCCACAGTGCCCAATTTACAGCCAGTTATTGCTGATCTTATACTTTTCACATACAATAAATTTCCAAATACTCAAGAACAAATTATTCACATACTGACTTTCTCCTGCTAAGACACACTGAGGGCAACAGCAATAAGTAATCACACCTGGACTCCACCCACCCTCCCGGCCCCCCCAAGTACAGCATCTTTGAGGCATTTAATTCTAAACCTTAACTAACCAAAATCAGAAAAATTTAATTATTTAAAGTAACTGACAATACAGTATTTCCCAAAACATTCTCTGTAGATTGTAAGTTTGGAAGCCTTTTAATGATATTAAGCAACAAATGGGTTTTGTGGTTAAATTAACTTGGGAAAATTGGTTAAACAGGTCTTCTCAAAGCCTTGAGTATGCTAACATATGTCAAGATTCTGGCGGTGCAGAGATGGGGACTGATTATAAGCTGTTACCTAGTTTTCCTTGACCATAAAATTCATTTTTAATAGACTGGCATTCATGCAACAAACCTTAGGAAATGCTGGACAGGAATCGCTTGCTCTCTTTATTAATGAGGAAACCAAGTTCTACATACTTCAAACTGCTTGTCCAAAATTACCCAGCTAGCTAATAGAGGTGTCAGATATTTTTAATACATCATGGAGCTTAGTGCCCATTATCACTTGAAGTGAGGAATGTTTTTGTGAAGTGACTTTACTCTGAAAATCTTCCATATAGCTGATGATATTATATAACATGCTTTCTTTTCATAGAGAGAGGTTTATGAGACCGGCCTAAGACATTATGAAAGTATCTTAAATATCTAATTTAGAGGACACTCAAGAGGGAAGGATTTGGGGAGGAGGATCAGAGAAGCAAATAAAACCTATTAAAAACAAACTTCTGAAACAAGGAATGAATAGCACGTGGTAAAGGGGTAGGGCTAGACTCTAATCCTGTCTCTGCCACCAATGAGTTATGGGCTTGTAAGTGAATTAGTTAGCCTTTCTGTGTCTCAGTTTACTCGTGGAGATAATAGTAGTATCTACTTTCTACAACTGTGATGACGAAAAATAGAGAATAATGTACGTAAATTGTTTAGAACAGGGCAAAAAATGCGATGATAATGTTCCTTCTGCTAATATAACAACGGCAGGTAACATTAATGAAGCACTCACTATGAGTTTTCTAAAAGAGATTCTTTAAATGTGTCCCTACTTCCTGGGCCTGGATATCAAAATTTATGAAATAGTGTTCTAATATTTTGACATACTATTACAATTTTCAAACAAATCTACTTCTCTTACTCTAGATGTAGAGCTTATATACTTCAAAACAAGGTTTATTAGATGCCATATTATAAAACTGTACTTACTACTATAGATTGAAATATGTAGAATGGGAAGAAGTTTAATTTAGACTTGATCTAGGATTCCTACTGGAATTAGTTATATATACAAAGAAAAAATTTCCAATATATCTCAAAAATACAAAAATGGTTCTAAGTTGGTATTTCACCACCTTCTATTAATATGATAGTTATTTACAGATTAAAAAGTTATTATCACCAGAAATATTAAAATCTACTTACAGTGCTCATGACATTTTGCCAAATTTTCTAGGTCATCCACATGATAGTAATCATAGCCTGATGTTCCCAGAACTTCAAATGGCAAATATCCTATTATGGGTGGTGCCCTAAATTACATATAAAACAACCAATATTATGAATTTTTCCATAATAAAAAATACTCAACTAGAAATCAATTTTGGGAGGAACCTTTATTTTTTAAATAATGGATAATGAGTTTGAGCGCCCTGATGAGAAACAGTTTGTCCTTGAAATCCATTAATTTCAAGAATTATAATATGATTATTATCTTTTTATAAAATTGAAAAATGGGAGTTACCTGTGATCTAGAAATAGAAACTTCCATTCTAAACTATGTCTAGATGTAAACTCTTCATTAGGTTCTTCAACAGTGCACATTTCCTACAAATAAATTAATAATTAAAATTTAGAAATACTTTTCAGTGTCCTTAGCACAGTCCCAAACATTGTTAGCTGTAAAAGTCATTCTTAGCTAACTTTTCCCTAAACATTTTTTTAATACATTTTTATTTTCTAGTACCAAGGAATATGGCAATAAATAGATGCAGGCTTCTGGGGGAGTATTTCTCACTCGACACGTTTCTCTATTCACTCACATGCCTAAAAACCCTAATTCTGAATTCAGATCTCTCTCCTGAATTAGAGTTCTGTATTTCTGTCTGAATGTTCCTGCACATCACAAACTCAACATGTCCTAAAATAAACGAACTGCTTTACTCCTCATACCCAGTTACACAATGTTCCATCTCATTAACAGAGGCATACCTGTGTTATGCCATTAAGTCTAGAAATCTGATAGTCACAATACACTCATTTTCACCTTTCATCATCTAAATGGCCACTACTAAATCCTTTCAATTTCACCTTCTAAGTTTTTAAGAAATCTGTTCGATCCCATCCAGCTTCAGGGTCTTAGTTTAGACTCCAGACCCTCGCCATCACTGGCTCACACAATTGCCAAAGTGTCTCCCCAAGCAAGTCTCCCTGTCCTTCAACTCCTCTTCTATTCTGGCCACAGTTACCTTATAAATACTCAAATATGATTGTATAACTTCCCTGCTTAAAAACCTTAATGGTTGCTCATGCCATCAGGATAAAATCTACACTCTTCAGCAAGGAGAAACAAACAACAAAGAAAGAAGCACATTTCATTGCCGGCATCTGCTTACTTTTCTAACATCATCTCTCACCATCCCTATCTGCTCCTCCACACACAGTAACCCTAGACTCTAGTCATACTCAGCAACGTATTCCAACCTGCCTCTGTGTCCTTGAATAACCTTCTGTAGCACAGCGTAGTGATTAAGAGTTTGGGCTTTGAGAGAAAAAGAATTAGAATCAATCTCAATTCTACTGCTTAATAGCTGTGACTTTGGGCAAGTAACTTAACTTCCCTAAGGCCACAGTTTCCTTATATATAAAATGGTGATCATACCAGCATTTTTAAGAATTAAATAACTCATGTAAAGTATACAGCATGTGGTAAGCACTCAATAAACATCTTAGCCACTGCTATTAAGATCAAAACAAGCAGAGCGAGACTGGTTCAAGATCCTCTAACTGCTAATTCGGTACTTTGTCCTATAATATGGTGTTTCCCTAAATTTAAAATCTTAGCCTGGCTTATTTCCAGCCACTTTCCAGTGATTGAAGTCTTTGATTTTCCCACTTCCCTACTAATCATCTGCTTCCTGGGCCCAGGATATAAAAATAAATTATTTAACTGAATTTCAAAACTGAAGAGGTACATGAAAGGCAGTAAAAAGCAACTTGTGCATTTCAAAAATAAAATTTCAAAACCAATCTTTTAAATTTACCTAGATTTTTGGCTTTTCCCCTTTATTGTAGTTGTGAACCATACAAAAAAAGCATCTTAAAATTTTGCACAAAAGCAGGACAACGGTGATACATAACCACTGGTTAACTACAAAGGGTGTACATTTAAAAATTAGTTATGTAATTTAATGAGTGCCTTGATAACTCATTATTTGCTTCAAAAATATCATGATCATGTATATTTAATGTCTCATGGCCATTACCACTTCAATGTTTACAGGAAGTATCTGGAAACAACAAAAAATTACACAGATAATTCTCATAATATAAAGTGAAACCCCTTTGTGAAATAAAATTAGAAACATACCTTGATGAACTGAGGCGTAGCTAATCTGACAGTAGCTACAAAACAAACTCTATCTTCATAAGAAGGCTTGTGTGTGCGTTGTATTGTTCCTTCAAAACCATTGTGTGCTGAAGTGGATACTAAAACAATAAGGAAATAAGTATCAACAGTTACTCCAGGAAAATCTAGTTTTTACTGATATTCAAACATCTGTCCTTAAGAGCTTAAAAGAATACCAAGTGAAATTACATTGCAAAAGAAGCATTTTAACTTACCACTGTTTAAAGATTTGAAATTTCCTATAAATTTCACATATTCGTAAGTAGACGGCTCCTTTGGGTCTATTGTTCCTCGAAGCATATGACAACAAAATTCTAACTGATTTTTTGCTGAAATAAGAGAAAAAATATGACATATTTGTGATTTATCATAATGAATGATATTTCACACAAAGTAAGATTATAACAGTTGTATAAGTCTACAATCATTATTTCCTTCAACAGAGGTCCTCAATGACATTTTGTTTAGTCCATAAAAGCAGTTTCTTTAGATGATCTCACCTTGTCCTTAATAAAGAAAACAGATCTTCTGATACAAGCCACTCCATGTTCCTCCATTTTTATTTGTCCTTCCTTCTCATTCTTCACTCTAATTTCAAAGAAAGGTTTTGCTTCCTATTCCAAAGTTAATACTTCTATGTCTACCTTGAACAGTCTTTCCTCTCTTCCTTCTCCAGGACCAGGGCCACACCACGGTATTCATTCCTTTAACATCCACACATGTTCTTTTGTGGTTCCTTACTTTCTACTTTTAAATTTGTTCAGGTCTTTCCATCGCAAACATACAAAGAGTTTTCCATGCTACTCTTTTTAGTAACACAGATCTCCTTTCTTTTCATTATGTGCTCTAGTTTCCATATGTTTACCTCCCTTAACTTTATGCATTGTGGCTTTTGCCCTCACACCTCTATAGAAACTCCTCTTCTAAAAATCACCCACGTCTGTATTAAGCTCAATGGTCTTTCCTCACTGTTTCTACCTCTTCTTAAAATTCACATGTTTTCATTCCCATAGTATGAAACTTACCTTCCTACCTTACTATTTCTATCTCTTCAGCTAATCAGTCTTCAAATTATGGGCATCACAAAAGTTCTTTTAACCACTGTGCCACCAGGGAAGCCCAAAAAGTTCTTTTGATTGTACTCTATTATCCTTTACAAACTTACCAGCATTGACAAACTTATTTACTCCTAAATCTCTCTCCCCAACTCTAACATTTTATATAAGACCAAGTCTCATATCACTATTTGATTTCAGAACATCTCTACCTGATTGTCCCATCAGTAAATGAAACTCAAAATATTTGAAAGTGAATTTATCCCCCTTTCTTCCTAAGCCAGCTGTCCTTCCCCTTTGTCCTATGTATGTATGCTTAACTCCTTAGTTAGAAATCATATCAATTTGGTCTCTTCTCGTCCTATCACCAGTTCCCAAACTAATCTGTCATAGGATGTGCTGTTCATTTCACCAAGGAAGCTCTCATGAGTCATTTTTTCCAGATGAGCATCCAGTACCACCAACTTAGTACAGATGTAAATTACCCTGTATCTAGGTAACTGCAAAAATGGACTCTCCATGCCTCCACACTCTTCCCACTCAGATTCACCCTTGCCTATTACTCTAAGACTAACATCACTTTCATTATTATTATTTCAGCACTCAAGGACTAATAACACCTCTCTTCACTCACAGCATCAAACACATACTCTTCTGTTATTATCATGAATGGGTTTATCATCAAACTCAACAGGTTCAAACTCTAACTACTCTCTTCCTAAAATCTTCCCCACGGATGATCCCTAGCTGTTTGGACACCTGTGCCTAACACCAAGTCCTACTGAGTTTATCCACTCAACAACTGAATGCGTGCTTTCCTCTCCATCCTTACTTCTCCTGCTATCCTTTTAATCTCCATTCTAGTTATTTTTCAAAATTTTCCACCTGAGAGATTTCCTTTTCAGACCACAAAACCACCCAAATCCCCTTGCACTGGCTTCTCACTACGTTAAAAAATAAAAACCAAACTGTTTAGGATGAAACATTAGGCCCTATTTCCTTCTCTAGACACAAATCACATCACCTGTACTACCTCACCTTCATTATGGCCCAAATGGCATATTTACAGAATCCTGAGTTTTCCAAGCAATTTACCCTCTGTTTTACATCTCGTTTACTCCTTTGACATGAAACATCCTTTTTTCATGTACAAAAAAAGAAATAACTTTTTTTGTATATCAGTTCTTTAAGCAGGAGGTCTGAAAGTCATTTAATTAAGGCTTTTCTCTATTAAAAAGTATCCTTGGGGGGGCTTCCCTGGTGGCGCAGTGGTTGAGAGTCTGCCTGCCGATGCAGGGGACACGGGTTCGTGCCCCGGTCCGGGAAGATCCCACATGCCGTGGAGCGGCTGGGCCCGTGAGCCATGGCCACTGAGCCTGCGCGTCCAGAGCCTGTGCTCCACAACGGGAGAGGCCACAACAGTGAGAGGCCCCCGTACTGCAAAAAAAAAAAAAAAAAAGTATTCTTGGGGACTTCCCTGGTGGTACAGTGGTTAAGAATCCACCTGCCAACACAGGGGACACGGGTTTAAGCCCTGGTCTGGGAAGATCCCACATGCCTCGGAGCAACTAAGCCCATGCGCCACAACTACTGAGCCTCTGCTCTAGTGCCCACGAGCCACAACTACTGAGCCCACGTGCCATAACTACTGAGCCCGCGCGCCTAGAGCCTGTGTTCCGCAACAAGAGAAGCCACCACAATGAGAAGCCTGCACACTGCAACGAAGGGTAGCCCCCCGCTCACCACAACTAGAGGAAGCCCGTGAGCAGCAACAAAGACCCAACGCAGCCAAAAATAAATAAATTAATAAATAAATATATATATTTTTAAAGTATTCTTGCCTGATCTTGGAAACGGAAGCCTAAGGTCTGTATTTCTGCCAAAGGCTTTCGTTCAGTTCTCCAGACAATGCTGCCCTTGTGAAGGTCTCTAAAGCAGACTCCTCTTTTGTCCACCTCTTGCCATGGCCCAGGGTTCCATCTTTCTAATTTTTCTCTCCTTACTCTATATATTTACCTCAAGCAACATCATTCAATCCATGACTTCAAATACCGTTTACAGGCCTATAACTGGCCTCTACGTCATTATATCCAACCCAAATCTTTCTCCTAGGTGAAAGACTAGTCTTTTGGTCAATGTCATAGGAACTTGATTTTTAAACAATTATAAATAGGCTTCAAATCGATTCTCCTGGTCTCCAGTTTTTCTTCTTCTCAACTCCTTCTGACAGGCTATCTTATCAAAGATGTATGTTCACACATACTTACACGTGTGTGTGTGTGTGTGTGTGTGTCTGTGTATCTCAATTCTTGAATGGTTAGTGTTCTGCAGAATTTGAAGATTTAAAATATAAAGAACCTTTAAAATGATTCACATCAGTATTACTGGAAAAGTCAAAACTTAAAAATCATGGAAAAAGTAGCTAAAGAAGACATCTAATCACTAATGGCCAAATGTAGTGCTGTAATGATTTCAGATTTTACACAGGATAATTTATGCAAGAAAATGAGGTATTCTGGTCAAATTAACTTGTCCAGTGAATCTAGGAGAAAAGTCAGATTATACCATGGTATTTTACACTTATTAAAGGCAGGGACTACTTTTCCCTATTCTTGGCACTTTTATGGTATAGCACACAAATGTCTGGCACACTAGACATATCCAATAGATTACTGTTTAATTCTGTTTAATTAATAAAGCAAACAATTTCCTTTATTAAATCATTTTTTTAAATATAGAAGTCTTGCCCCATAGTTTCAGTGTTCAATTGGTTAGTGATGGTGAAAATGAGCTGTTTCATTTTCTCTCATTAAACACAGTAAGATTTTATATAAAAATTAAAAAGAATATACTGCAAGTTCCATTTTTGTGTAAAATACAGTTTTATGGCATACTATAACAAAAAGGTGAGATTTCAATGTATTCTGGAAGAGTTCAGACTTCTAATATGGTCATAATTCCATCATATGTTAGTATTTAAAAAGGATCTAACAGGGTATTTGTAATGATGCCATGTGTTAATTTGGTTAAACATACCTGGGTTTGTCACAAAATTACAGAAGTAAAGGATAACACAACCAAATCTGCTTAACTTTTTGCTTAAGAACTACTACTTACATTTTAAATATTCAGGGGTTAATGAATCACTTTCCAGCAGATGCGTAGAGAGTATTTTATAAACTTCTGAATGTTCCCCCTCTGGGATAAAATTAAATATACTTTGATCCACAAGATCTGACTGAAAAAGAAATTTTTAAAAGTTAAATAATTCTAGTGATTCAAGAGACATTTATTTTTAAAGTACATAATCACTCTTAATACATCAGATGAGCACATGGTTAATGTTTAATTATCTGTGAAAACTGACAAATGTCATGTTACAGAGCACAACTCAAAAAACAAGACTGAGAAGGTGAAAGAGGTTAACATGACCTCATTGCCTCTGAGACTAGTGTCATCAGATTCATGATCAATATGACCTTTGAAAGTCTGATAAGTTATTTGCAAAGGTGAGTTTCAAATTTGAACATGTAAAATATAACAGGACTAAGAAAGTTGATTAGAAGAATCTTAGGCTACCAGATGTAGCCTTACCATACATCCCAAACTCTGGTAAGTTATGGTGGTGTACACTACAATAAAGGACCACAGGAGTGGCCACAGGCTACATGAAGAGGAGACTTGACTTTAAGTGTCATTTCAGTTGTCCAATGTGTCCTTTCTTTTTTATTTCATCTTTTCCAGCCATCTATCCTGTATCCCATTGTCAAAAAGCCATGCTTTAAGATAACCACCCTCTTCCCCCAAAAAAGGCAAGTTATGTGCTGAGCATTATAATCCTTGCTAAAATACGGCTTTAATCAACAAGCAACAGGTGGCCTACAATGTGCCATGGCTGTGGAATCAAAAGTGAATAGGACAGTGCCCGTCCGTACGAACCATCGACAACAAAACTTTCGTGACTCCACATTTCCTGCCAAATCCCATGCAGTCTACCTGGCTTCTCCACATTTTCAAACTGCCCTGTGGAATCCTGGGGTTACTGAAGTGGTATCTCCAAGACTATGGAGGTAGGCATGGAGGGCAAGGGAAGTGAAAAGGAGTTGTGAAAGCGGGCTAAGGGTTCCACTAAGAAATTTCACTTTTATTTTGTATTTCAAACACTGTAAAGATTGTTAAAAACAAAACAAACTTCAAACAGTAACAAAAAACAGCCACTGGGGATGGTAAGAGGTGGGAAAAGGGGTGTTTACCACTCTTGTACAAGCCATACATTTACACTCTGCCTTCTGTATCTTCTCTAGCCTTCAAGGTCCACCTCATGAAGTGGAGTACCTTTCCCCTCTCTCACCACATGTTTGTACCCTTCCATCTTGCAAAGACCAGTTCAAATTATTTCCTTCAATAATATGTCCCTTAGCTGCATAATCCACAGTAAAAATAATAAAGTTCCTTTAGTAATTACTACTCATATCCTTCATTTCCCATCAAAAATATTTAATTATATTTTAATCTCTATGTCCTACCACTCTGTGGGTGATTTAAAGGGCCCTATCTCTTACACCTTTATCTCCTAGCCTTCAAATCAAGATACAATAACACTGAGCTTTGCACATATCGGTTATTAGTGCAGTAAATTATTTTGAATTAAGGAGTTACTTGATAAGCCTTAAGGGGTAACCACACCAAAAATATATCTGCATTTTAACAAGGAATTTTTCTGAATGTCTGAAAAGTCTCTAGAACAGAAGGAATAAACAAAAAATTAAGGCATGAACAACAAAAAAAGGCTAGAAAATTGCCTTTTATTCATAAAGTATTAAAATATAGGCATTGACATTAATATAAAAAATGGTCTTGACAGAAAAATAAGATACCTATTTGTAGAACCAAAACTCATTTTGGAGATGATTAGTTTCCTACAATTATTTACTTTTACTGACAGTTCTTCCCCTATTTCAGTAAATTATGATCTAACCTTTGTCACCCTTGCTTTTTTATCTATAAATCTACAGGCTGTTTCATATGCATAGAGAAAATATATGATTATCTAGTATACAGAGTGGTGTGATCACAAGCACTACTTCTCCACCATTCTGCTTCCCCAGACACTCGATAAACTGAAGTATCAGACTTAGTTGGCAACTAACTGATGTGTGATTTTCCATTAACCATTACACTTCCCATCTCTAAATGAAGTTGATCATACCTGATGTTGCCGTACCATCCACTCAGTTCCCAAGCACAATTCAAAGGAAAGAGAAGGAAGTGACAGCTATCTGGATCCTTCTGTGTCCCTCAATTATTTTCATGAAGAAGAAATGTAAATCCTGCTGATTGCCATATGATATAAATCAATAGGCTGTTTTCTTTACATTAGGTCAGTGCAACCGTTCGGTGGAAATTATTAACTCTCATCAATTATCTTTTCCTCAGTGAGAAAACTGACAAATACCTGCTGTAGAGAGTAGCTGCTCAAAAGGGACTGAAAGCTCCTCCAAAAAATGTCAGGTATATGTTGGATATAACATATTTTTAAAGAACTATGCTCCTTACGTACAGGCGTAAGGAACAGAGATTCTGGCGCTATCAAGTAAGCTTTATTTGCTTATTTCAAATATTTGTTTTCTTATTGAAAGTATCTACTCCCCAATAATCATGTAACTATTGAAAAAAATTCCAAATTGTTATTTCTGCATACTGCATTTACACCAAAGATGGTACTGACTTCCTTAGCACATTCTTGTGTTTATAATTCAAAATTACCAAGTTAAGAAGAGTAGAAAATGAAATGCTCATACAGTATCTTAATAGTGGCACTTTTAGTCCTGGACTCTGTTAGGCTATAACATGGTGAATCTTCCTTCCTATATTACATGGTAACAAATTTAATATACTCTCTTCTCAGGAACACATTTAAGCAAAGTATGAGGAAAACAATCTTAAACTGTAAAATTTTACAAATTTTAAGCTCCTGGTAAAGAGACCCAACTTTATGTCTTGGCACTTCCACTAAATTGTACAATTAAGTCCAATTTCTCTGGGTTTCATGTATGCTTCTAACAAACATAAAGAGGCTGGGCTAAGGATGTCTAAAATCCCTTCTGGCATGGAGGTGGTATGACCCCATAATTTTGTTGTAGAAAGCCACACCAGGAAAAAAAAAATTCATAAATTTCCTTTCCTGATTATTAGCCACAAATAGGTTAAAATGTACCTAAATTAATTTCATAAGTATGACATGACAAAGTTAAAAAATTTTTTGCAGGACCTATAGAATCAGTCTTGCAATTTTACAGTCAAATTTAAATTTAAAAATGTTGTTACACTGACCATTGATTAAGATGGCAAATTTTAATTTCTCAACAGAACTGAATTATAAACACTAAAGTCTATATTTAGAGATTTGCTAATGTTTCTCCCCCTCTGGGCAAGAGCCAAAATTCTGTTTTAGACAAAAAGGTATGCATGTTCAAATACAAAGAAAGGCACACCATTGTTTTAAACCTTTTGTTTAGCATCTGTTACAGTTTAATTATTAATGGCAAGCCAAAACAGAAAATCACATACTTTTTTCCTTACTGTGTTTGATCCTAAACAAGTATTACTTCATTTCCTCAAAACACACTTGTGTTTTTGTTTTCAAACCTTCAAATAACATACAACATTGTCAGTGATGTGAAGGAAAGTATCCACCGTAACTGGAGAGCGGTAAAAAAAAAAAAACACACAAAAACTGTTTTAATAAAGGCTACTATTAACTCCGCATGGAATGAAATGGGTCTGCTGGATCAGCAGAGACCTCCTCTGCCCAAACGTTCACCTGCTACATGCTTTGGCTGACAAGACAATCAAAAAGATCCAGAAGCTGTTACTCACAGAGGAAACTGGGTAGGGGACATATGGGAACTCTCTGTACTATCTTCTCGATTTTTCTATAAATCTACAAATAGTTCTAAAATTAAAAGTTTAAAAACAAAATCCAGGAGGGAATGGTGACAAGGTTTCTCACTGAGGGGAGAATGTTAATGATCAAACACTTGGATCCCAACTAGATCTGTGGTAGACATGTTGTTATTTCAAAATGCAATTAAATATTCCCTCACTAAAGCTCCAACACCAGTGTGCCATTAGGAAGGAGTTTTTAAAACATCTACATCAAATAATCTACTCACTTTCTTATACTCAATCAATAATTCGTAAGTGCCTCTCTGAGAAATTAGCCAGCACACGTGGATACAGAGATGAAGTCCCTGCACTTAGGAAGCTTACATCTACCATTATTATCAAAATAAACGGAAAATTACAATTCACTGTAAGTGTCACGGTGGCAGTACGTATAAGGTAACGTGAGAACACAGAGAAAAGGAATCTAATTCTCAATGAAGTCCAGGGAAAGTGCCCAAGAAGCAGGCTTTTAAAAAGTCTGACCACATTGCAAATTATACCCTGACTATGACTAAATTAAAGATTATATAGTTTCTATAAATACATAACCGAAAGAAAATCCAATAAAAATGTCTGTGGTTTAAAAGCATATAATTATACCTTTATTCAAGTTACTCAACTTTATTTTTTTAAATTATAGTTGATTTATAGTATTATTAGTTTCAGATGCACAATATAGTGATTCAATTTTTTTTATAGATTACACTCCAAAGTTACTACAAAAGTTTTTACAAGGTTATTACAAAAGTTATTTATACTTTAAAGTTATTACAAAATAATGGCTATATTTCCCTGTGCTGTACAATATATTCTTGTTGCTTATCTATTCTATACGTAGTAGGGGTAATCCCATACCCTTATCTCATCCCTCCCTGCATCTTTCTCACCACGGGTAACCACCAGTTTGTTTTCTTTATCTGTGAGCCTGCTTCTGTTTTGTTATATACATTCTTTCGTTTTATTTATTAGAACCCACTATTCAATCTTATCTTAGTCATATCTTAATCCTATCGAGGATTTCTTTCCCTGGCTTTTTTCACTACGTAAATATATTTTTTTAAATTAATTAATTAATTAATTAATTTATGGCTGTGTTGGGTCTTCGTTTCTGTGCGAGGGCTTTCTCTAGTTGTGGCGAGCGGGGGCCACTCTTCATCGCGGTGTGCGGGCCTCTCACTATCGCGGCCTCTCTTGTTGCGGAGCACAGGCTCCAGACGCGCAGGCTCAGTAATTGTGGCTCACAGGCCCAGTTGCTCCGTGGCATGTGGGATCTTTCCAGACAAGGGCTCGAACCCGTGTCCCCTGCATCGGCAGGCAGATTCTCAACCACTGCGCCACCAGGGAAGCCCCGTAAATATTTTTTTAAAAAGAGTCCTCCAGAAAATTCTGTCCTTTTCTCTGCCCATAGTAGTTTACTTACATGTTGCTATAATCTCACTGTTTATTCCCAAACAATTTTTAGATGTTGGGCTAATCACCTATTGTTTGAGCTTACTTGTAAAGAAAGCCCCTAGAGAAGCAGTAAAGCCAAGTCATTTTCTGTGTGACCCAAAGAAATTAGCAAATTACTTACTGCCTGGCTTTCAGAAACAAAGTACCCTTTTAGAATCTGGCCTTTTAAGTATAGAGTCCATTCTCTTTACAAAGTACAAAGTAGCAGAGTAACCAGAGGGAAGGAGATACTGCTTTTCAACATCTCTTGAAAGAGATCCTTATAGAACAGTTGACTCTGCACTGTTATACATTTTCAAGAGATGGGCATTTTAAGAGTAATTTATAAGTAACTTCAAAATATTTACACCACAAGCCCCACTGTAAGCAGATAAGTTAGGGGGCCTCTGGAGAAAGAGAACCAGGAATAGCTTTCTTGACATAAGAGAAGCCATTTTGTAATCTAAGCCTGGCCACAATGCTTGCCCTGATCTCAGTATTTAATGATCTGAAGGGAACAAAGGAATGCAGGGAGAGAGAAAAGGCAGGCAAACAATAGTGCAGGGATAAAGCAGAGTCCTAGTTCCTTCTCAAAGGATATACATAATAATACATCTGAGCTCTGTAGGAACCAAGGCCCCCCTCCCCAAGTGGAGGATATAATGATGATGCTGACCTTTTCTGACTTCAGCCAAGTAAAGCTGGGACTCTGTCAACCTTTGCCTCACTTCTATGCTGAATTCTCCTCTGCTAAAGCCCCTTCCTGAATATGCATGTGCCCTTAGCTTAAAACTTCCCCAATTTTGCTGTCTGGGGAGACACTCCTTTGTGAAGGATCCCCCCCCCCACCACCACCATGTGTTCTCCTTACTTGCTGCGAGTTATGATAAATCCTTCCTTCTCCCAGTCTTTGGCTTGGTTGGGTCTATTGGCTTGGCACCCACCAAGAGGCGAACCCAGTTTCTGGGTAACACCATCTTAGATAAGAACATTACATATTCAATAAAAACTTCAAATTCATAAGAACTGTCAATTGTAGCAGAGCACCTAGCATAGTACCTGGCAGAGCAGATGTTCAACATATGTTAAGTAAAACAGCAAATACATAATTCAGGTATTCACCATTCTAATCAAAATTATAATTCTTTTCGAATTATCTACTCTTTTGATTATTAATAACAAATTGAATATGGCCATTAAAATATTATCAACTCAAGCCACAGAGCACAAAAGTTCTTATCTATTATTTTCAGTATGTTCTTATAAGTCATTCTTTTGAGAAAATTATTATTTAGCTGCAACAAATATCTCAGTAGAAATTTAGTTATTCTCAAGATAATTTCAGTGATTAAGCAACATCTTCACCACGCTGACTAAAAAGTTAATACTGAAAACTCAGCATGATAATAAAGAGGGCAAGAAGAATAGAGGTTAGGTAAAGTGGTAGCTGAATATTTAGTCACTACAGATTAATGACTGACCTGAGGAAATACAGACATATTAAAACAAGAGACATATTTAGAGGTCGCATCCCCGCTCCAACCGCTGTTCAGCACTGCTCTGAGGGGTCCACTGCTTAGTGCTTTAGAACGCTTAGAACAGGCACTAAATAAGAAGATCACAGGATTTTTATACTTACTGGTAAATGTTCAAGTAATGAAGTTACACTCTCAGACACATATATTATGCTTCCATCTGTCATGATTGCTAAAAAAAAACCATCAAGAGCCTGAAATTAAACATAATGGTCAGTTAAATGAAAAGAAAAAAGTATTTCACAGGACAGAAATAAAAATCTAAGATAAATGACAAAGGACTTAACTGTGGAAATTTCCAGAGCACTGTCAAAATGCTAGCTTTTCCCCTTTACAATACCTTAGTATCTATCTTTGTGCATTTTAAAATGCTTCTGGAAAAAAAAAAAATCACTCTATGGCCATTATTGGATGATGGGTTTCTAAAAGGTAGAAACAATGTTCTACCTTTATCATGTTATTATACAACAATGGCCTTATTTGAAGATGTTAATATCTCCGAAGCACATAGGCCACCAATAATATGTCTTCGGCACACAAAAGAACACATTACCACCTTCGGATATATTAACAGACAGATATTATGTACAGACTGAAGCACAGGGAGATACATGGGGAATAAAGTGAAAGGGAGTAAGCTGAAAAAGTAGGCTGAGGTCAGATCATGACAGGCCTTGAATACCAGGGCAAGACATATGGACTTTTTTCAAGAGTGGTCTGGAAGCAGTGTGTAAAATGGATTTAGAGGAAAAAGTGAATTAAGAGGAAAATCTCAGTGGCCTTCAGAATAGTTGGGGAAGTTAAGGAGAATCCAAATGAAATTAGCAGCAGTAAGAATAGAGAAGGACGGACTTAGGCAAGCATTAAGAAATGTGATGTTAGAGTTCAGGAGAGAAGTCAGCATAGGGGAACAATACTTAATAATAAAGCAATCCTGGGACTTCCCTGGTGGCGCAGTGGTTAAGAATCCGCCTGCCAATGCAGGGGACATGGGTTCGAGCCCTGGTCCGGGAAGATCCCACATGCTGCAGAGCAACTAAGCCCGTGCGCTACAACTACTGAGCCTGCGCTCTAGAGCCCGCAAGCCACAACTACTGAGCCCACATGCCACAAGTACTGAAGCCTGTGTGCCTAGAGCTCATGCTCTACAATAAGAGAAGCCACCGCAATGAGAAGCACGCGTACCTCAATGAAGAGTAGTCCCCACCAGCCACAACTAGAGAAAGCCCGTGCACAGCAACGAAGACCCAACCCGACTCAGCCAAAAATTTTTAAAAATAAATTTATAAAATAGTAATAATAATAATAAAGCAATCCTGTATTCACATATCACAAAGTTTTTCATTTGAGAATCCTAGGCACCAAAGTTGCAGCTGAAGAAATGAGATCTGCAAAAGAGAGGAGAATGCCAAAGACAAATCCTTGGGGAATAATCTATTTATGGGAATGAGAAGGAGCAAAAGCACCAGAGAAAATGACAAAGACAGAATACACTGCTGTCAATGAAGTCAATGGAAGAAAGAATGACAAAGTGAATGAGGAGGAAGAGGGATGGTTCAGGATAACATAGAATCAAATAAAACAAGGAATGAGAAAATGAGGACTGAATTTTGGTGACTTTTAAGAGTAATTTCCATAGGAAGGTGAGTCACACTACAATGAGTTGAGAGATGGGTGGATGATCAGAAGTCTATTATAAACCACTCTTTCTTCCCTTCTAAAGTTCATGAAAGGACACATTTTGAGGGGACAAAGTATCAAGGGAAGTCATTTTTTAAAAAAGTAACTGAAATATATTTGCAGGCTGAAGGGAAAGAAGATGCAATACAACAGATGTTGAAGATATACAGCAGAAAAGATACACCGTGAGAGGAGTTCCTCTTCTCCTATCAAAATAGTTATCACAGGGCTTCCCTGGTGGCACAGTGGTTGGGAGTCCGCCTGCCGATGCAGGGGACACGGGTTCGTGCCCTGGTCCGGGGGGATCCCACATGCCATGGAGTGGCTGGGCCTGTGAGCCATGGCCACTGGGCCTGTGCGTCCGGAGCGGGAGAGGCCACAGCAGTGAGAGACCCGCCTACCGCAAAATAAATAAATAAATAAATAAATAGTTATCACACTAAATTTGAATTTCTTGTTTTAGGGTTCTCTCAAAAGATACAATCTCTAGTGAGCATTATGTATAACTCCTCCAATACTGTATCCGCAGCACCTAGCATATGTGTGGCTCGTGGCAACTAAAAAATAACCTGTATGTAATTTATGGATCTGAGAGTTAGAGTAACCTCCCTCCAAGTAACTACTGACGTACGTGTTGGAAGTAGGGAAAAAGGCATCCCCCACCTCCTCTTCTATTGAGGGGGACGTTTGGATATCAGAAAGTACTTATTTTGAGTAGATGCCTGTTTTCTAGAATGGCTCAAACTCATTCTTGGCTAATGTAAGGGGAGGGGGTGAAAATCTTATACTTCAAGCAAATTCATGAAATTTTTACAAAAACTCCTTGGTACAATAATGCTGGTATTATTTCCTAAGGAAAAGGGTCAAAATGATGTTAAGAAGGACATGCTTTTCTCATGTGAAGCTAGATTGTGTCATCTTTGAAAGCAAATTACTATTTTCTATGATGATCTCTATTTGCTAGGAATTAGGATGCAACTCTCTTCTGTGAAGAGAATCAACTAAAATCAGAACTCTTAATGACTTGATCCCACTCCCAGAACCAGAGCCTGCCCCTTCCTCTTTCAAAGCAGGCAAAGATTCAGCAGAGAAAAGCCTCCACCAGCATCTCACCAAGTCTTAATTAACACAAGAAGGGATCCAGGGCTCAAACTTCTTTTGAGTGGAGGAATCTAATTTCCCAAGAAGGTAAGCAGGTACACCAAAAACTGAAGGGGCCTTGGGGAGGAAGACTCAAGAGATGTGGAAGGAAGATCAAGACACAGAAGGACATCCTCATACCAAGACTGAAGACCTTGAAGGTTATCCCTTGCCCACGTTGTATGATAGGAGGGAAAGGGCTCATTAGTTAAAACTCATCTTCCTATTTGACATCTACTTTACCCACAACAAAAGGCCTGTGTAAACCTTCACTGTTTCCTTAGTGGGTGTTTAATATGGAAAGACTGGATGGAAGTTCTAGGGAAGGGGACAGAACCACCTTGTGATGAGGCAGGCAGGGCACTGGCCCTTCCCTTGTAGATTACTGGAGAGAGCTGTCAGCTGCCAAGGAGAAAGAACTCCTTACAAGGAGATGACTTCACACAGAGATGACCCTGCATAGAGGTCTGGTCAGGGTAAACTGCCCTGATTTCCTTGGCTACTCTCAACACCCACAGCAAGGGTAGCAAGGAATATTCCTTAAGCAACAGAGACAAGAGGAAGCGGGACGGGTGGCAACGGAAGAATGGAGAAAGACAGCCAACACATAAGGTATAAGTGAATTTTGAGATCTTAGTCTGAGTTCTTGAATTAATTAGCAATCTGACCAGACAAGCTGCAGCCTCTCCAGGCCTCATCCGTAAAATGAAGAGGTTGAGCTGAATGACCCCCAACTCCTCTACTAGCAGCTCTAACATTCTACGATATAGCCTACATCCGAAATTCTGCTGAAACGGGTATCCAGACTGCCTAACTGTAATCTTATCAACATGACCAGCAAACAGTAACACAACTAGGTTAGTTGGACTCAGGTTACAGTACACACATTTATACATATCCTTCAATCTTGGCAATATGAACTTAAAATGCATATTCACTTAGTAGTTGTAAATATTCACTAAAAATCAAAAATATGCCTGACATATTGAAAATAAATAAATGTAGTATTTTTCAGGAATGTAATTTTAAAAGCAGTGAGGATAATCATGAGACAACTAATTTATATTTTCAAAATTAACATGTTTAAATTTTCTCTGTTGCATATTATATATAATGTTATAATCTCTGGACTCTTTATTTTTAACACTTATCTACATATGCACTACATGTGTCTTGGCAATTAATTTAAAAAATCTGTTCATTGTAAAGACAAATTTGAGGACAATGCTTTCCGTTTAGCTTATTAGTGAATAGGTAATTTACCTTGCTAAGATTCTTCAGTGTGGATATTACATCAATTTATGAATTTATAAAAAATTTTTCATACCAATAAAGCAGGGTACATAAATAGCTTATGATTAACACAGAAGATCTTATTAAATGATTACACTGAGAAATAATCAAAGAAAAAATTAAAGATGAATTAAATGAGTTGATTTCTTCTTGTGGTTACAGACATTAGCTTGTGTGTACCCTTTCATAAATGTATTACTTCTATCTAAAGAGATAATTTCGGACAATGGCAAACTACCTTTAAGAGGAGAAAAAATTTAACAAAATTGGAACTATTATTTGGTTTGTAACTTAAGTGTCCACTAACTTAAAGAGTTGACTGCTGGTTACTAAGCTAAAAGTCCTGTGCCACGGCTAGCCTTCACTGAAAACAAGTCTCATGAGTGGCAGTGGGCACAAGGGCTGGGGCCACCGGGACCAGAGGCTAGTCTTCCTGCAGTGAGTCCTAGCTAAGCTAATTACTGTTTTATTTTGAGCAAATTTCATAATCCCTTTGTTCCTCAATTTCCTCATCTGAAAGTTAGAAAGGGATACTAATAGTTTATCTTCAGAAGAGTATTGTGAGGATTCACTGAGGTAATATGTGAAAAGTGCTCAGTTATTTTTCAGATTTTAAGCACAACTTTAAATATATATACAATGTATTTATACTCCAACAAATTTTCATACGGTAACATTTCTGCTGAATAGGTAAAGACTTAATTAATCCAGCAATTAACTGTTCCACCTAAAGTATAAATAGAAAAATAGTTCATTAATTTGCAAAATAATGTTGCTTTAGGCTTTGGTCAATATACAAAGACACTTGAGACATGGCTATTACATATACATACACCACATTACATACACCACACAGAAAAATGCTTAAGTTCTAAAATAACAGACCCAAACAAACAGAATGAGAAATGTAAATTATTTAACAACCTCTATATATTCCTACCTCAACTGCTTTCCTCTACTTCTTCCATGTCTACCTTCTGCATATGTATTTTTCTTGTCCTTAACTGTTACCACCAAAGTATACCACCTTTGTTTATTGTAAGTTTTCATGGAAATCTGATACTGAACTCCATACTTTGTGTGCATAGATGATACCTTATTAATGTAAATGGGAAATGATCAAAAAGTAAAAAAGTAAAATAGATAGGTATGAGTGACTCAAAATTTTTGTGGATTTTATAATTGATTGTATAAGTTATTAAGTTTTGCAATTCTAAGCAAATATGACCTGAATTGTTTTCAAAAATAATTTTGTCGCAAAAGAACATCTACTTATTTCGTTTTAGAAGTTTCTATTTGAATTGAGAAAAGTTGCCTTTCAATGTATATTTCATTATTTTAATATTTTCAAACTACTTCATTTATTACCATTTTATGTTGTATTTAGGTGGATTTTAATTTGTTAAAAAAAAAATCTTACTGTCTAGTAGAATATATTTCATAATAATATTTAGTATGTGATGAATAATGTATTTTATTTTTCATTTGAATGTTACTGTGGTCCAGGTAGAGAACTTGGTAGTTATAGGTTTCTGACTTTTATTAAGCCTCTCAAAAATTCAGATGTTACTGAAACCACAAAGATTTGGCATTATTTTACCACATAGTACTATTTCCTTACAATACTTACATCAGTTAATTTTAACTGAAGAGATAGTTGACTGACTTACACTGAATTAAGATTTTTCAATATTAAATTAATATTGTTAAAACTATACTAAAATTGGTAACCCCCATGATTTCTCTTTTAAGGAAAATAAAACTTTTCAAAAATTAAATCTGGACATACCTCCAGCATTAATTGTGTAAACTCTTCATTACTAAGGAATGTAGGTTTCCAGTCCTGTCGAATTTCACTAGCATCTGACTGTGCAGTGATTTCTGTAAACAGATTGACACATTAGCCGTATAGTCCAACCACAGGGAGAGGGTGGTGGTACGAAAGTCCTACAAGTTGCCTTCCCTTCTCCCACTCTAAACCATAGTCAATAACATTCATTGGTCTAGGTAGGTTATCAGGAGGTCCAAGTTTGGGGATGAGGAAATATTTGAGCTAATGTAGCAAGTTATCTCCTTGGATTTGCTCTCCTGAAAATACCAGTCTCTTTGGATTTTCTTTGGGGAGCTCTGAGAACCTGTATTGCTGACAGGCCTGAGATTGCTTCCTGCTTTACACAATGACCAAACAAGAATCATAACAAGCAGATTAGACCAAGCATTAGGAATATGTTCTTTTTCTCCTTCCTTTCTTTGCCATTCAAACGGTAGCACCTAGAGCAGACATAAGGACGTGAACCTGGAGGAAAGGAGCCAAGGAGATCAGTCACTCTGCTTTTAAAAAAGAATGACTTTATTTCACTCCAAAAAAAAAAAAAAAAATTAAAAAAAAGAATGACTTTAGGCCTGCCTATTGCCAGGCAGAAAGATTCTTTCCAGTCTAAGGTATTCTATTCTTAATTAATCAAGGAGACTAAAATAAAATTTTAGGCAAAAACTTTATAGTAATAAACCCAGAGTAATCCTGCTTAGTGGCCTCTGGTATGTTTTCTTAGTGGTAGGAAGCTGGTCAAAAATTTGCAGATCCCTGGCTTAAGGCACACATTTTAACACAATAATTATAGTTTATCTTGCAACATACTTCTAATGGATTTAGTTATGAGAAAACTACTCATAAGTGATGAAATGTGAACTATTTAGGTAATATTTTTTCATTTTTAAATGCGGACATATTAAAACAATCAAGTAAAATTAAAATCTATGTCATAGAGCTTACTCTACAAAATATACTCTACCTTGCAGCGAAAAAAATGGACTAAGTTGTTTTGATTTTTCTATTACCAGATATATAAATATAGCATATTAAATTGGCACCCAAAATTTGGCATATTGGAAATGCCTGTACTAGATATGAAGAGTAACTGAGAAGTATAGCTACTAATTCTGTGGAACATAGTCATGCTTTTCAAATTCACATTATATACACTCAGAAAAAAGGACTTAAATCCATAAGCAAATCCCATCAAGTTTAGTTAAACCCAGGTTTATTTTTAGAGTAAGAAGTATATAAGAATCACCTTTCAATTTAAGGTAAATTTTTTTGGTGTGAGAATCATATACCCAATTTTGAAAAAAATACCTAAATGCCAAAATGAATCCTCTATTGTCAGGGGTAAATAATTATGCATGCATATTATTTCATTTCATTCAACAATCATTTACTGAACTCCTACAATGTCTGAGGAAGGAGTGTGCTATCTAACAAGGGGCCCTGAAGTTAGTGAGAATACTATTTGTAGAGATAAAATGTAATGATAATGGTGGCAATAAAAATGAAGACCAGCAATTTTGAGAATAATCAACAAAACTGGCAACTGTGATACTGTACTACAGAAGATGAAAAAAATGCAAAACTCTTCTCAGGCTTGAGTCCCAGGGGATTGAAAGGATAGTGGTGTGAAAATGGAAAAAGGAAAGCTGAGAGAAAGAGATGACTTGACAAATGAAAATGAATTCAACTTCAGATGCGTTGAGTCTGAGGACACGTAAAACAAAGACCCAGAAGTTACCTGGAAAAAAAAAAAAACTGAAAAGTTTGCATCTAGAAATATAGATTTAGTAGTTTAAGAGAGAGGCAAAACCAAGGGAAGGAGCATAGAGAAAGCAAGGGCACAAAAGACAAGACCTTGAGAAATGTCATGTTCAGAGGGCAGAAAAAGAAAGAGGAAAGAAGTTAGCTCAGTTGGGAGGGGGAGGTGAATGAAGAAGTACAGTGTATCTCAGGCCAAGGGAAAAGGAAGCCAGTGGAGGATGGATGAAAATTTCCAGTGCTTCAGAGATGCAGAAAAGGATGAAATATAAGAAAAAGCTACTGATTTATTGGTAGCAGAGGGGGTAGGGGGTCATGGCATTAACTAAATTGACAAAAAAAAATTTTAAACAGTGGTAGAGCATAAACCAGGCTAGTAATGTATCAGAGTGAGCTAGCAATAAATAGAGGCACTAGTTACAAATTCTCTTTCTGAGAAGTTCTGCAGTTTCATTTCCATCTGAAAAAGAAATGTCCTTTTACAAGTTTTTCACCTATTTTCTATTAAGTAGCATTTATTAAGTACCAAAATACTTAACATTCTTTAAAATTTTCTTTTCATGACTTATTTACTCAAAGTGATTTTCTCTGATTAACAAATAATCACTTTAAAACACAGTGTTTTTATTTCCTAGATATACACTGAAGCAACCTTTTAAAATGACATATAAAGTTCTCATGATCTGACTCTTGCTTCTCTTTCAAATAGACCCATAACTTTCCAACTCAAACTATGCTCCGGTTAAACTGAACTCTCCCTGCTCCTCTGGTTTTACACATGCTATTTCCTCCATGTGAAATGCTGTTTTTCTTAAGCTAACAGGAAGTCTCAGTTGAAAAATTAACTGTTTAAGACTTCCCTGACACATTCTTTCCTCTGTGTTCTCACACAAAGTTTACAGTTTACGAGCACTACTCACATTACAATTACTTGCATTGCAATTAGCTGTTTATATGTTTGTCTCCCTTGGCCTGAGTTACTTGAGGGCCAGGACTGTTACCCTGCACCACAAGAATCTAGGATATACTAGTAGGCACTAAATACATGTTTGTTGAATGAAAGAAAGAACATACCAGGAAATCTTTAAAAAAGCAATTATTTCCTTTTCTTAAAAATGGTTAGGAAGCATACAGTCTCAAGCCATCACTGCCAAGATTTCATCACATTATGCTTTAAGAGACAGTCTGTTACTATTCAAAAAAAATAATCCATTTTACAAAGTTAAAAATGTACCTTTATGTTTTCGTAAAAAATCAATGCTCTTCTGTAGAACAGTAGATTTGTCCATCTTTCTAGCATTCCCAGGAAGCATGGATCCCAGTTCTTTAATGAGAACATTAAACTGATCTCTACGTTTCTTTTCAGATTTGTTTCTAGATACTCTGATGAAATAAAAAATTAAATAACCAGTTTTCAAACAGTCCATTTAATTACACAAATAGTTTAATACAGTGCTCAATACACAACCACAGAGCATGTACTTCTGTCAATACAGATGGTAATAAATATTTATATCCTAGGTTACCAACAATATACAGTTAATCAGGGCAATAATTTTTCTTCTTAGTTTAACCACTAAAGAAGCTTCTACATTTTAAGCATTCGGCATACATGTTTTTATGAAAATGTCAGTAAGACAAACTACATTCAAATCTCAGGTTTTATTTACTCTAATATTTACCAAGAATCTGTATTTTCCTTATAAGGTTGTTATGAATATTACTGAGATACAGTTTCTGAAAGCACATATAATGTATAAGTCCAAATCATTAAAAATTATTGAATAGGAGAAAGTTATCCATCTCCTGTAAGTTTTAAATTATAAACAGAAATCTAAAAATGAAAATTTCCCTACCCTCAGGCTTACCCACACAGTCTTCCTCTTTATTCCTCCATCCCAGCCTCCAACACAGAGCTGTAACCACTCTTTTGCATAGCTGTCTCTCCACTGGGTTGTAGGCTTCTTGATAACAGAGCCCCAGTTTTTTCATCTAAGCACTTAAGCATAACACCTAACAAACAGTAAGCACTCAAAATATATGTGCTAAAGGAATAATTCCCACTGTTCTATGTGAAGCAGTAACTAGAAGCAAATTCTTAGTTGTACTGAGAACTCTTGAGATAAATAAACACAATTATTTACAGAGCAATTAATCATTCCATAATACTTCTAATTACCTGCTTTGTGAAGTCAGATTTTAGAATTCAACTTTAGAAAGTACACTACTTTCCCAAAAGATCCCCAAAGGTCAGAGGATAATTCTATTAATTTAATTTAATTTTTTTCAGTAAAGGAGCATTTATTCTGTATTAGTACTGGGAAAAAATACAACTGTTCAAACCTCTTAAGAAACGTAACAGAAATTAACTGACTCCCTCACCAAACATTGAGTGCTTTGTTATAATGACAGAGACTGTGCTAATAAGGACTAGGGATACTACAGAAAGATAAGTCCTTTCAAGAAATTCACCTAATACCTATGGAACCTCCTTAAGTGTGCCGAATTGAGTCATGAAGGCTAAGTGAGAAAGGGATGGTGGCAGGGTGTGAGCAGGACATTCCAGACACAGGAAACTTGCACAAAGATGAAAACCTAACAGGAATTCCCTGGCAGTCCAGTGGTTAGGACTCTGCACTTCCACTGTAGGGGGCACGGGTCTAATCCCTGGTCATGGAACTAATGTCCCTGCATGCTGTGTGGTGCGGCCAAAAAAAATAAAATAAGGGCCACACATCTATCACAAGTAGTTCAGCATGGCTCATGTAGCTAGTGTACAAGCTTTCTGTGCCCAGCTATGCTGGACTTGGGGGACGAGGAGGGGTGGCAATTAGGAATAATAAGTACTGGAAGAAAAAATCATGAAGTTTTTATGCTACACAAAAGGATTTAGTTTAATAGTGAAAGCCATGGGAAGGCACTAAAAGGTTTTAAGCAAAGAAATGACTGACATGAACAGAACTCCTTGTTAAGACCATTCTAGCACTAGAGTAATGAAAAGATCAGTGCTTGGCAAAACAAATTCATATAACAAATACTACTGGAAATTTACTGTATGCAAAACAAGACTGGAGGCCAGATGACCATGTGTAATATAACTTGAGATACTAGTTTCGGTAGACCAATGGTTTGGGGAGAATTTAAATATGGTGAAATTGCCTGTTTGACATTTTAAAGGACACATACTAGAGGAAGTTAGACATACAGATCTAGTTATATTCCTCTAGAAAGGAGTAAGTAGGATATAAGTAACTGAGAATTATTATATATGAAATATCTGAAGACATGGGTAAAATTTAGAGCCATTATTTGTTGTATATAAGTTACTACTGGAAATTGTATATAATTGTATAAATGTTGTATATAAGGCACTACTAGAAACATACATGAAATTTCATTTAATTCCTACAAAGTAGACTTTATTATTTTTCATGTTACAAGTGTGACAACTCAGGCATGAAAGAGAATATGCCCAGGATCATACAGTTACCAAGAAGTAATAATTTAAAACAGGCATCTTAACTCCAGCATAAGAAACATACAGAAATCAAGTATCACTGCCAATTCTACCAGTGGATCACACCCATTAAAGCAACTTTATTTCATGTTACGTTCAGGTTGGACGTATTCAGCCCTTGTGATGACCTCAATAATAACAGGGCACAGATGTCAGCGTTCAACATGGTCCATTTAATTCTGACAGCATTATTATGAGGCCTTCTCTTTCTCCAAGGTTTCCCACAGCCATAGCATTTTTGGTCCCCTAAAAACACGATCAAACCTTCAAAGTCTCTGTGAACAGAATACCCTTAGCTCACCTTATCCATCTCTAAACTTGGCCTTTAAATCTGTCCAAGTTAATTCCTCAAAGTTCTGCCTCTGAAGACCTAAATAGACATTTCTCCAAAGAAGATATACAGACTGCCAACAAACACATGAAAGAATGCTCAACATCATTAATCATTAAAGAAATGCAAATCAAAACTACATCTCACACCAGTCAGAATGGCCATTATCAAAAAATCTAGAAACAATAAATGCTGGAGAGGGTGTGGAGAAAAGGGAACACTCTTGCACTGCTGGTGGGAATGTGAATTGGTTCAGCCACTTTGGAGAACAGTATGGAGGTTCCTTAAAAAACTACAAATAGAACTACCATATGACCCAGCAATCCCACTACTGGGCATATACCCTGAGAAAACCAAAATTCAAAAAGAGTCATGTACCAAAATGTTCATTGCAGCTCTATTTACAATAGCCCGGAGATGGAAACAACCTAAGTGCCCATCATCGGATGAATGGATAAAGAAGATGTGGCACATATATACAATGGAATATTACTCACCCATAAAAAGAAACGAAATTGAGCTATTTGTAATGAGGTGGATAGACCTAGAGTCTGTCATACAGAGTGAAGTAAGTCAGAAAGAGAAAGACAAATACCGTATGCTAACACATATATATGGAATTTAAGGGAAAAAAAATGTCATGAAGAACCTAGGGGTAAGACAGGAATAAAGACACAGACCTACTGGAGAACGGACCTGAGGATATGGGGAGGGGGAAGGGTGAGCTGTGACAGGGCGAGAGAGAGGCACGGACATACATACACTAACAAACGTAAGGTAGATAGCTAGTGGGAAGCAGCCGCATGGCACAGGGATATCGGCTCGGTGCTTTGTGACCGCCTGGAGGGGTGGGATAGGGAGGGTGGGAGGGAGGGAGACGCAAGAGGGAAGAGATATGGGAACATATGTATATGTATAACTGATTCACTTTGTTATAAAGCAGAAACTAACACACCATTGTAAAGCAATTATACCCTAATAAAGATGTTAAAAAAAAAAAAAAGTTCTGCCTCTTCATTCAGGCAAGACTGATTATTCCCACCTTATCAGTGACTTTCTCTCTACCCTGAATTATTTTATAAGAACCTTCCCCCACTAGATTGAAGTTAAGGGAAAGGAGTTATATCCAATATACTTTTAGCTTCAAATTCAGGTCTTTTAATTTCCTTGAATAAAGTTGTATATAGCTTTCCTCAAAATCTTCTTCCCAGATATATTTTAATCATTCATTTAAGAATTTAGCAGTTTATCTGGTTATGTGAATATTCTTCTTATCCCAGTACCTTTTATTTTGCTAAATACAGACATTTAGGAACTACTACTTATTTAGGAACTACTACTTATTACATGTTTATCTTTTGTATCTGTATGTAATGCTACTACACTCTCTACCCTCATGTCTGAGCACCCAAGTAGTTCAATGTGGCTGGAAAAAAACCATAAAGTATTTACTGCTTACCCTCAATGACTACAAACTTGGCTGCAATGCTCTCTGGACCCTCCCTCCTGATACTGTAATCACCATCAAGGCCCGTATCTAAGGTCAAGCCCCCACCATCACCACCATGGCTCTAGATCCCATCCTGTCACCTACTTGATGATACCTCTCCATCAATTCTTCCCCCCCACGCCTACTCTCCACCACCCACTTTCCCTTCTGTTGGAGAATGGAGGCATGTCAAAAGACACAGAAGCCCACCCAGAAAGACCTCCCAAAGGCCAAAGCTGGAACAAACTGAGCAACAGAATAACATAGCACTGAAGTACAACCTAAAGTACAAAATAAATCATGAGTCCATACAAAATATACATGAGTCCACAGAGATATAAATAAATGGGAAAGAGATTTCTTTTTTTTACAGAAGAATTTCAAATATGTGTAGATATCCCTTCCTATGAGAGGTGAAGCTTAATTCCCCCATCCCTACTCTAAATAAATTATTTCCAAAGAATAGAGTGGGTTAACAGAAAAGAGTAACTACAATGGTAAATCTAGGCAAACCCTGCCTTAGTCGAGTGACGAAGGCTAACATCCCCAGTGATGTCATGTAAATATTATGTGCCATAATATGATGTGGTGAGAAGGGCACTTTTAGAGGATAATTTAATTTATAAACTACACACTGATACTCTAACCTCTTCCACCTTGCTAACATATCTAAGTTCTTAAGGCAGATAGATTTTGGAAATCACTGATTTACTATTACATTTATTTATTATTCATTTATTTACTATTTTATATCTGAAGTTGAACTACCTTTTTGCTTTGTCCTTGTCATCTTCTTCCACCAACCCATCAAAAATACTACCATCGTCTCTAAAAGAAAAAGAAAGTGGATAGAGAAAATAAGAGAGCAGACTCACTAAGCAACAGCAATACTAAAACAACGTATGAATGAAATCAGTTACATCCTAGGATTTTTGTAGAGTTATGGATTGCATAAGTTCAAACTAAGTAACTACTAACCTGTTTTCTAACACATATAGACAAAGTTCAACTATGTTTTACATTTTAAAAAGTTTATTACAATAAACAATAATTTAACTTTACCAGAGGTTAAATATCTTATTCCAAACTTTTAGTAACCAGTGAAAATCTATAGAAAGTCAGTATATTTGCCATTATACAAAATGATTCATTTGAAATTATTTTTAATTATAGTAGCACATTTAAAAAACATTTTCTGAGACATTTACTTTATAAAACACAAATCACTCAGAAACATCACAATATCTAGCATATTAACTTATACTGATATATTTTCACTCAGTACTGATTCATTTGACAAATATTTGTTAGCACTCATGTACCAGGCTCTGTTCTGGACATGGTTACAGAGCAGTTAATTAGACATACAGATCCCCACTCTCATATAGCTTATTTTCTAGTAGAAACAAATCAACATGAAAATGTATGAATTTTATTATTTTTTTTAAGGGGTGATGTTTTAATTACTAGGTGGTTACTTTAGTCTGAGTGGTTAGGGAAGGACTTGCTGAAGTGGGGACGTTTGAGCCTGAGATCTAAGCGACAAGAAGGGGTTGGTTATGGGAAGACCAAGGGGAAGAGCATTCTAACAAATGAAACCAAGAGCACTGGTGGCTAACTCCTTAATCTAAGGGGCAACAGTAAATAGTTGCAAGTGATATGAGCTTTTACATGAACTCACTATTCACTTCTTTAACCACATCTTTCTGTGGCCTATAAAGTGCCTACGAGCCCCACAACTGAGACCATCTACAAATCTCGTATCATAGAGGTTCATGAGTAGACTTTTGGGGTTCCATGTATACAATGAAATTTATAAAAAACTCTGTATGTAAACGTACATTATTGAGAAGAGAGTCCATAACTTTCACGATATTCAGAGAGATAATGAACTCATATTAAAAACCACTGCTTTATGTCTGAACACCCAGATGTTGTCCCTACAGGTCATACTGTCTAGAATAGGAAGTGACCATCATTCAGAAGCATAATGCCAAAATCATATTTAATCTTTAGGAGTAGTGAAGAAACATCCTTTCTGAGGAAAAGACTACACATAGATTTCACCTGAAACTACGGCACAGCCCACATCCATGGCAGTGGCAGGCAGGCCTCCCTGAGGAAACTCCTTGCCCCTTAAGTCTTAAGCTCTGATAGAGTACATACCTTCACTATTTACCTCACAGAAAAGGGAGGAAAGCTGTCCCTAGATGTCAAAGTCACTTCTGTGCACAACTCTAGCTACAAAACTCTTAAAGAATCCCCTATGGAAGAATCACACATTACACTATAATAAAAGCACAGGAACTATAGGAACTTTAGTGTCAGACCAATACAGGTCATAACTCCACCTTATTACTTACTATGTGACTTTAAACAAGTTATTTAACCTCTCTGGCCTATAGACTCCTCATCTGTAAATTCTCATGGAATTATTGTGAAGTTAAATGAAGTAAGACATAAAAAGTGCTCTGTACATTAGCTGTCAAAGAGCAGGTATTTTTTAAAAACTGGTACTGTATTTCATCAAATTTAAGACACCAATGACTATAAGACTTACTATTTTATGTGCCACTACGAAAGAAAACAATGCCACCAATTAAACTATGATAAGCCAATTGTAAGATGAATCCCAATGTCAGACATGTTAAAATGTAAAAAACTAAAGTCTTTAAATCAAAGAAACAAAGAGGCCCATCCTTTTCCCAATAGTAATATTTAAAGATTATAATTTCAACTAATGAAATCCTAATTAGAGTCAACTCTCATGAGTCACAAATGCTAAGGTGCTTAAAGGGCTGAAGTTAGAACCAACAGATAAGGAGACAGATGATCCCACAAAGCGCCAAGCAAACATCTGCAATTGTCATAATTTATTTCAGAGCAGTTCTGACCAGATCGCTCAGAATTACAGTTCAAGATCCATTCAGAACACAAGCCACATGCTGTTGACTTTGGCTCTAGATAATATACCTTACTTACTATTACATGAAATTTGCTCGGTACAGAAGGTAAATGGAACAGTAATTATGGTTAAGCATAATACTCCTTTTATCAGTTTGATATAGACCATTACTCTAACAGTGAATTTTTTAAATAGCTTTATATAATTCAAAATAAACAAGTCTCTAAAAACATACCTGTCAACAAGTGAGCTCATTTTACTACAGCTTACGGTAAACAACATAACATATTACGTTTTCGTCTTGTAGTAGACATTTGTACTTCTCCTTGGGTGGAAAGAAAAATAAATGGTCATTAGTTTTCTAAAAAACTTATGTCTACAAACACAGTAATTTGAGAAATACTATGTTTTCATAGAGACTTCAAAATGTTTTTGTTTCTACTGAAGGCTATAACATTATTTTCAAGCAAATATACTTAGCTGAGGCACATTTGAGGCTTTTTTTCCTTTTAAAAAAAGGACTACAGGGGAACAAAAATTGAAGACCATAATTCATTTTCTTTCTATAACAAAATAGTGGAAATTAAAAAGCCACTCTTAATATTCAGTATATATATTAGACTACGTAGGCTACATATGTAAGCCTATGTAAGTAGGTTATAATAACACCAGCTAATGGGCAATAAACATTTGTTGAAAGCCTACTTTCTGTTAAACAGTATAGTTAGCTTTGGAAATAGAAGGATGAGAGACACTATCACTATAGGCAAAAATCTGCAATTAAAGAGGGAGATGGATAACTAAATAATTATAATAAAAGGGATGATGAAGGTATATTGGTGGGGGGGGCAGTCAGAGGAAATATTCTTGATGACAGTGAGTTTGTTAGGCAGTCTAGATTCTTGTTACTGAAAATGTGCTCCAGAGACCATCATCTGAGAGCTTGTTAAAATACAGAATCTTGATCCCAACTCTAGTCCCACTGAAGCAAAATCTACATTTTAACAAGGTCTTCATGTGATTTGTATGACCATTTAAGTTTGAGAAATAACAGACTAAAGGACAGGAAGAGGTAATAGCTGAAGGGATTCTAAGCCACAAGAAAAGTGATTTGCAAAGGCACAGGCATTTATGAGAGAGCGTCATATTTGAGAGAGTTTTCTCTTTAGAGAAAAATGTAGGCATATTACAACTGAAAGTTTTAATTACTAGAGCATAAAGTGAGAGACAACAGGAGTGGTAAAGGGGTGAAGGCAAGTCAAGCAGAGAAGAGCCTTATTATGAAGTTTCATACTCACACTGAAGGGATTAAAATTTACTGCTTTAAAACTCAGTCATAAGCCTAAAATTTATCTCTCTATATTCTATACAGTTTTGCTAAAGTATAAAGCAGGTTTTACCCATATAAGATACTTACATCTGATAGTCATGAGTTAAATATTGAATAACCACCTTAACTCTAATAAATATCCTAACAGTTCTGAGGCACAAGAATTATTTTTTAATTAAAGTTTAGAAAATAGTGTAAATTATTGTGTAACTCTAACTAAATGAGAGAATATTAAAGGACATGAGACTCTATAATACTCTATCATTGTTTTTAAATGTACATTCATGAAAGGAAGAGAGAATAACTCTGGATAAATGATGCTGGGTTGCCCATGTGGTTATGGCTGCAGAAGCAGAACTGTGAAGGGCTGAGAGTTCTTAAAAGATAATGAGTGAGGGGAGTCAGGAAAAATAAAAAGAACTAACTCCAGGATAAAATAGTGATTTTAAGTGTCTGGGTCAACATCAGCAGATGGAACAGAAAATTATAGAATTTTAGAGTTAGAAGAGACTTTAAAGATCACCTAAGTACAGCCCTCTGGTCTAACAGACATACTTAGTTAGCATCATGGTAATAACAGAGGTTGGTTCTATCACTAGAACAGAAAGAACAGTGCAAAGGTAACACAGCCAATTTGAGTGGATTAAAAAAAGAACAGTTTCAGTTTAAAGTTAAAAGACCAGATCTGAGCCTTATATGGCAGCAAGTATATGCTTGTTTAATTATCAGAAGGTAGAAATAGGGCAAACTAGAGGGAAAAAAGGACCCCAAGGATAAGAACTTACACTATATAGGAGAGGCCATGCTGACTATAAGGGAAGTGAATCCAAAACGCTTTAGAAGATAGACTGATGCTTTATTAAGCTACTTTACTATTGTTGGTTAACAATATTTTTCCAAACACTATCTGTTGCCCAGCTAACCGAACAACATAAAACTACATCTCTGATAGTTCAGTCCAAGATCTTTCCTCTACTTTTCCAGCCAACTGATAGGCATGCTATATTTAAAGATATAGGAAAGATAAAGGAAGAAGTGAAATAGGCCCAATTAAGTACTCTAAAGCAACTGTTAGGAGATTCCTCTTGACTTCTTTACATGGTGTTGAATTAACTTTAACAAGACAAAGTGGTAATGTGGGAGCAGCCAAAGGTCTTGTGTGGGGTCTATCCTAGGACTCACACTTTCAGCACAAAAAAGACTAGGCAGAGTCACACTTGCTCATGGCATGGATTCTAAGGAGTCATTTTTAGAAGGCATGCGATGTCCCTACTCACAGCAAGGAGATGGTCTAATACAGATTAAATATTATTAAAAGTCATTTTTCTTAAATATTGATATTAATAGACCACTATGGTATGAAATAATCTGTCTTTAAAAGGATCAGTTACAAATTAAATGATAAAGGATCAAGTTACTGCTAGGAATCAAATGCTCCTTTACTTAAGCAACTTGAGCTCAAAGTCATTCAATGATATGAATTCCCAGCTGAGTAAGCACCACATTACTATTTTATCACAGTGGAGGGCAGGATGGCATTTTTTTTTTATAAACATCATTTTAAAAACAAGTTTGAAAACATTTATCACATGCGCAGGTATTAACTAACAAACCTTCTAAGCAATTCAAACTTTGCAAAATATGGAAGCAGGTATGTTTTAAATGCAGCATGCAACATTACACATAATTAACAGAAAATCTCAGTGCTTGGCACTCCATCTTTGGAAAAGAACTCTTACATACAATATAACACATTCTGCATTAAAAATAAATTATGCAGTATCAGTATCTTGTCATCTGAGTCCCACCTGCTGTCACTTCTCAAAGCTTTCCATTTCTACATCACTAATTTCTCCCTCTATAACTGGAATATTCTGATCAACATCTTAGTATTTTACCTTAAAAAACAAACAAAACAGACAAAAACTTCCTCGACCCAGCAACCCCCTTCAGGAATGGCCCTCCTTTTCTGCTCCCTTTCACAGAAAAACCACTTGTCAGAGTTGTGTACAGTTGGTGTTTCAACATCTTTAATTCATTCCGCTCTCTCATTTTAAAACTTAAGTGTTTATTTTCACAAATGTATACTTGTTCAGAGTTTAAAGTATCCAGTTTTACAAGACTTTTTAAAAAATCAGAAGTCTTCTGATCCGCATTTCCTACTTTCAACCACTTTCATCTCTTTAACTGTTTCCCTTGGTAGTTAACTCCCTATCTCTAATAACTTTTACTTTATTACTTCTTGATTCTATTTTAGGTAGGATGCCTATACACTCCCAATTTATTTGAGCTGTCCCCAATGTAATTATTAAAAGTGCTTGCTTTTGCTCTCTAAAGTGTCTTTTTTTTTACGCCATCATCTACCGAATTCCACTATAAAAAATAATAATTTAGCTTTGACTCCCCCATCCTTACCTCATATACACGCACGCTTGCCCAAATTTCCAATACCGTGATTTTGGCTAGGTGGTTATATCCAGAGTTAACATTATTATGACTCTGTAAATACAATTCACAGTTAAGCCATATGGTATACTACAATTTGTTTTTTGGAATAGTTTTCCCTAGAGTTAATCATTGTTTTGTTTTGTTATTTACCTGGTTTTCTGAATACTTATCTACAATTCAGCCCTAAACTCTTGTCTAAATCTACTCTTAATATCTTCAAATACCTTACAGATTCTACCAATTTAATCTTTTGCAGCTATTTCTCCTGGCACCTTCTGACCTACTCCTACTGGGAATGGATAACTATAATTGGTGACCAGCTGTAATCTTGGGATCACTCTTCACTATCATCTTGGTGATTTCCTGGGTCTCTACGTAAGTTGCATTCCCTGTTTCTTCCTACGGCTTCATTTTTTTTAGTTTACTTCTTTATTTTTGTTGAGTACCTCCTACATTAACTGCCCAAGAAAGGAAACATGGCAGATAAATTTTTTTGAGACATCACAAGTCTAAAACTAACATTGGTCTATCCTTAATTAACAGTCTAGCTAGATTCTGAATACTGAGTTGGAAATCATTTTTCCCTCAGAATTATGAAGGAAAATCATTTTTCCCTTCTATCTTCAGTGGAGACACCCTTCTCCACTGTCTTCTAGTTTCCAGTGTGGGATCAAGAAGTCCAAAGCCGGGCTTCCCTGGTGGCGCAGTGGTTGAGAGTCCACCTGCCAATGCGGGGGACACGGGTTCGTGCCCCGGTCCGGGAGGATCCCACATGCCACGGAGCGGCTGGGCCCGTGAGCCATGGCCGCTGAGCCTGTGCGTCCAGAGCCTGTGCTCCGCAACAGGAGAGGCTGCAATAGTGAGAGGCCGGCATACCACAAAAAAAAAAAAAAAAAAAAAAGAAGAAGAAAGAAGTTCAAAGCCATTCTGATTACTGATCCCTTATATGTGACCTATTATTTTTCTTATTCTGGAAGCTCTTCCTTTATCTCTCTTTTAAATATAGCATGTCTATCAACTGGCTGGAAAAGTAGAGAAAAGATCTTGGACTAAACTATCAGAGATGTAGTTTTATGTTTAACAAAATTTAACAGGTATATGCCCTATTTTGGACTAATTTTCATATCTGCATTGGTCACTCTATGGGCTCTTTCGACCTGTAAATGTGTGTCCTCTAATTTCTGGAGAGTTTTGCTGAATCATTCACTATTCTGTATTTCTCCCCTCTAGTCCCTCTATTCTCTTTCTAGAGCTCCTATTTTTTTTAACATTGGAGATCCTGGACAGTTTCCCCAATTTTCTTATCTTTTCTCTCCCATTTTCTCTTTGCTTTACTTTCAACATCAGTATCATTTTTTAGCCCTTCCATTGAGTTTTCCATTTCTGATTTCATTTCTTATTTTTTTCTCTCTCATGTTCATGGATTTAGCATCTCTTCTTATTTCTCAAACTATTAAATGACAGTTTTGTGTTTCTTTCCATTTTTACCTGCCTATCTGGTCTCCATTTCCCCTAACTTGGTATTTTCTATTTTGGTTTGGTCTTTGACTCTCACAAAAGAGGCTTTCCTAAAATGTCCAGTGATCTTTGGCTACAGCTCATATTTAAGGATGGGATCTGTGAACTTTATTTTAAGGATATCATGTTGGGACATTTCACTGAGGAAATTCTTTTTTTTTTTTTTTTTTAATAAATTTATTTATTTGTTTTTTGGCTGTGTTGAGTCTTCGTTGCTGTGCGCGGGTTTTCTCTAGTTGCGGTAAGCGGGGGCTACTCTTCGTTGCAGTGTGGCTTCTCTTGTTGTGGAGCACGGGCTCTAGGCACACAGGCTTCAGTAGTTGTGGCTCTCGGGGTCTAGAGCGCAGGCTCAGTAGTTGTGGCACACGGGCTTAGTTGCTCCGCGGCATGTGGGATCTTCCCGGAGCAGGGCTCGAACCCGTGTCCCCTGACTTGGCAGGAGGATTCTTAACCACTGTGCCACCGGGGAAGTCCTCATTTAGGAAATTCTTAATGTCAGTACCTTCAAATCTTTTCTCTTAGGTTGGTTGTAATTCCCATTTTCCTGGGCAAGTGTCATTTCAAAGTACATTCCAAGATACAACTCTTTCATTACCTTTTGTATTTTGGGGATCTTTTGAACTGATTCTTCAGAAAACTGTAAGTTCAATGTATTCTTCTGTATGGCTGACCATCAGTCTCAGAATTCTGTTTAAACCAGAAAAAAATGTGTTAGATTTACTCAACTTATATGGACATTTATCATGAAGAAGGTTTCAAAATAATTTTGAAACATAACAAAATTTATAACTTTGTCACAAAAATGTATTGGGTTTGCCAAAATGTTTGTTTGGGTTTTCCTGTAATATCTTATGGAAAAACCCAAATGAACTTTTTGGCCAAACCAATATATAACAAATGCTAAACTCTATAAATTGTCTCTAAAAGAAAATAACTTAAAAATAAAAAAACTACAACAGTTACTTTTAATTCTACTATAGAAGTTAAAAGACAAAAGTATAAAAATAAGTATAGCTATGAAAATATGTTAATGAATACACACATATGTGTTAATGAATACTCATATATAATGAATATAAAAAGATGCAATTTGTGACGGAGATAAAGTGTGGTGGGGGAGAGAAGTAAAAGAGTAGAGTTTTTGAAGTTAAATTGTTATCAGCTTAAAATAGATTGTTAAATCTCTAAGATGTTTTGTGTAGACCCATGGTAAGCACAAAGAAAACATCTATACAGGATACACAAAAGGAAATGAGAAAAGAATCAAAGCATGTCACTAAAAGAAAACAATGAAACACAAAGGAAGACAAGAAAGGAAAAAAGTGACAAAATGCTACAAGACAGACAAAAACAATGAACAAAATAACAATAAGTCCTTCCCTGTCAGTAATTACTTTAAATGCAAATGAATTAAAGTTGCCAGTCAAAAGACAAAGTAGGTAAACGGATAAAAAAACAAGATCCAACTACATGCTATCTACAAGACTCACTTTAGATTTAAGGACACACAGAGCCTAAAAGACTGGAAAAAGATATTCCATGCAAATGGTAACCAAGAAAGCACAAATGGCCATACTTACATCAGACAAAATAGACTTTAAGTAAAAAACTGTCACAAGAGACAAAAAGAACATTATACAATAAAACGGTCAAATTTATCAGGAAGATATAACAATTATAGATATATATACACCCAACATCAAAGCACCCAAATATTTGTAGCAAAGATTGACAGAACTGAACTGAGGAACAGACAACAACACAGTAATAGTAGGAAATTTCAATACCCCAGTTTCAATAATGGACAGAACCCTAGACAGAGAAGGTCAATAAGAAAACGGATGGCTTGAACAACACTAAAGACCAATGGACTTAACAGAACATTCCACCCAACAGGAGCAGAATACACATTTTCCTTAAATGCACAGGGGACATTCACCAGGATGGATCACATCAGGGAGCAAAACAAGTCTTAACAAATTTAAGAAGATTGAAATGCTTTATCAAATATCTTTTCTGACCACAATGGAATAAAACTAGAAATCAGTAGTATAAGGTAAACTGGAAAATTCAAAACATGCAGAAATTAAACACATTCTTGAACAATCAATGGGTCAAAGAAGAAATCAAAATGGAAATTAGAAAATATTTTGAGACAAAAGCACAAAACATCAAAACTTATGGGATGCAGCAAAAGCATCATTAAGAGGGAAGTTTATAGTGGTAAATACTACATTAAAAAAGAAGAAAGATGTCAAATATAAAGAACCTAACTTTATACCTCAAGGAACCAGAAAAAGCCCAAAGTTAGCAGAAGGAAGGAAATAATAAAGATTAAAGCAGAAACAAAATAGAGCATAAATAAAACAACAGAAAAAAAGTGTTTTTAGCAAAGAACAACAAAAAGAGGAAACATTACAACTGATACCAAGTAATACAAAGGATCATAATAAACTATCATGAACAATTAAATGCCAATAAACTGGATAATCTAGAGGAAACAGATAAATTCCTAGAAATATAGAACCTATCGAGACTGAATCATGAAGAAACAGAAAATCTTAGCATACCTATAACTAATAAGAAAATTGAATCAGTAATCAAAAACCTCCCAACAAAGAAAAGCCAGGACCAAACATTCACTGAAGAATTATACCAAACATGTAAAGAAGAATTAATTAGCACCAATCCTGCTCAAACCCCTCCAAGAAACTGAAGGGAAAGGAACACCTCCAAGCTTATTTTATGAAGCCAACATTACCTTGACACCAAAGCCAGACAGACTCCACAAGGAAAAACTACAATATCCCTGATAAATATATATGCAAAAATTCTCAACAAAATATTAACAAACCAAATTTAATAGCATATTAAAAGGATCATACACCATGACCAAGTGGGATTTATCCTTGGGGTACAAGGACGGTTCTACATACAAAAATCAGTTAATGTGACACACCACATTAAGGAACAAAGTATTAAAATCACACGATCGTATCAATTAATGCAGAAAAAGCATCTGACATAATTCAATACCTTTTCATGGTAAAAACACTAAATAAACAAGAGATAGATAGCAATTTTCTCAAGATAATAAAAGCCATACATGAAAAGCTCCACAGCTAACATCACGCTCAACAGTGAAAAACTGAAAGCTTTTCCTCTAAGATTAGAGGAACAAGGCAGGGATGGCCACTCTCGCTACTTGTATTCAACACAGTACTATCTAGAACAATTAAGCAAGAAGTGAAAGAAATCAAAATTGGAAAGTTTGAAGTAAAATTATCTCTCTTCGCAGATGACATGATCTTATATGTAGAGAGCCCTAAAGAGTCTAGCAAAAAAAAACTGTTAGAGCTAATAAACATCAAACAGCAGGACACAGGGGGCTTCCCTGGTGGCGCAGTGGTTGAGAGTCCGCCTGCCGATGCAGGGGACACGGGTTCGTGCCCCGGTCCGGGAAGATCCCACATGCCGCGGAGCGGCTGGGCCCGTGAGCCATGGCCGCTGAGCCTGCGCGTCCAGAGCCTGTGCTCCGAAACGGGAGAGGCAACAACAGTGAGAGGCCCGCGAACCGCAAAAAAAAAAAAAAAAAAAATAGCAGGACACAAAGTAAATATACAAAGATCAGTTGCATTTCTGTATACACTAACAACAAACAATCTGAAAAGGAAATTAAGAAAACAATGTCATCTATAGGAGCATCAAAAGGATAAAACACTTAGGAATAAATTTAATCAAAAAGTAAAATTTCTGGTGTGGAAGGAACTTCAGGAACTTGTCAGTTTCGGATAGAAATGTTTTCACTAACACGGAAAATCAGGAATTGCTGTATTCTTACTATTTCTCATTGTAGAACTGAGATATCACTATAACATTCTCATTCTTAGCATTCTTCTAAATCATGAGCTCCTTCGAAGCAGGAGTGAAGCTTCACTTCTTCATCTATTATTAGGACCTGTCAGAATATTTGACAAATACTAAAAACTCAATAATCATTGTGAATAACTGAATTAACCAAGACCAACCCAACCTTGCCACACCAAAGTTAATGCAAAACTTTACCCTCATTGACTTTGCTTGACCCATCCAATGTCCATTCTAGAATTTTTTTAAAACACCAAGAATCTGCTGTATATATAATATGACAGCAAGAAGGAGGGATATTTTAGATAGCAAAAAAAAGAGGGGGTATTTTTGAGTACAAAAAAGGGATTTTTTTGATGGCAACAAGAAAAAAATCCCTGGAGATTACGGACTCAAATAAAAGTAAGAGGTCTGAGTCAAAAACACCGGAGCAATAGAACTTAATTCCTAAAATGTGCATGAAGCAAAATTAAGAAGCATATCCTACTGCCCTACTTGGTTTTAAGTACTTTGGGATCAAGTTACTCGTCAGAATTAAAGCACCTAACAAATCCAGCATGCTGGAGGAGTAAGTATAGAAGTTAAGACCATGAGTTTACAGCCAGAAAAGCATGGATGAAAATCTTTGGACAATTTACTTAGTTATCCTAAGCCTCAGATTTCTTACCTAAGGCAACTGTTGTGAAGACTAAAGGATAATAATATATAGGGACACCAATTATTAACCAAATAAACACAAATGGAAACTCCCCCTTTAAAGCCAAAATAAAAGGCTTAAATATTTGCAGCACTTCAAAAGGTTAATATTTTTACCATATAAGGGTCTCTAAAAGTTAACTGAAAAAAGGTTAAAACCCAGCTAAAAACAAACAAACAAACAACAAAGAGTATAACTAAACGAGGAGCCACGAAGAAAACAAATCGCTAATAAATGTAAAAATTATTCCTGGCTAGAAATCAAAGAAACTTAAGTAAAAACATATTATAGTTAAATATTAGTGATTCCTTAAAAATTCTACTTCATATATTTATCATTCAGCAAATATTTACTGAGTACCAATACAAGTAAGTGTCCGATACGACGCTGACTGTAGTTTGGAAACAGTGAAATAGACACAGCCACTACATTTGAGGCACTTCCCAGAGAACCCACAAAGTGCTCTCTGAACACACTGGGAGTGACAAAGAAGTTAAAGAAGCCTCCTGGAGAACTGATACGTAAGCTGAGATCTCAAGAATAAAATAACAGTTCACCAGGCAAAGAGCTAGAGAAATTTGATCTATGCCAAAAGAACAGTATATGCAAAGGTCTGGAGACATGAGAAGAAACTGTGATTTTAGAATACTACAAGTAGTTTCGTATGATTAGGGCAAAAACCTAAGGACAGGGGGTAACAGAGGTTGTTGTAAGAGATGATACTGGTGAGGTGAGCAGATCGTGAAAGGTCACATGAAGGTAACTCCCAACACCTCCGCCCCCTCAACAAAGACATTGAAAGGTTTTAAGCAGGAAAGTGACATTAATAGACATTTGTTCTTTTGAACCATCATACTGGCTACAACACAGAGAATGGAATGGAAGTAGGCTCGACTAGAATTAGAGAGACTAGTAGAAGCAGAGCATTATAATAGTTCAGGTAAAATAATACAGAAGCAGAGATTATAAAAAGAAATATAGGAATTTTAATAGATCCTGAGATGACTAGACAGAATCTGGTGACTGATTAACAGAAGCTGGGGGCAGGAAGCAGTCAAGAGTATCACTCAAATTTTGGCTTGGACACATCTGTGGGTTGACAGGTAACACAGGAGGAGTAAGT